CCTTTTCAGCTTCGCATCGAAGCTAAAAATATATAAAATAATTAAAANTAAAATTAATACCTTCTCAGCTTCGCATCGAAGCTAAAAATATATAAAATAATTAAAAATTTGTTTAATTAATTTTTTTCTTCTTTTTCCCTCGACTCTACCGATTATTTGCAAGGCAAAACCGCACTGCACTAAAAACTAACAGATGACTGTAAATTAAAGGTGATTGTGTCATGGATAGTAACAATGCATTAAAAGATATAAAAAAACTTTTATTTTCTATTTTCGGTCGAAAAGAATCGATTTACAACCAGTAAAAATTTTAATAATTAGTTCCCCAACAATTTTAATTATATACAATGTTTTAAACTTAACTAAGTACTAACTACATACATATTACTAGATATTATTATTATAGATTTCATGTAACAATAAATTATATAAAATTATCTATACAATTAATTTTTTCATAGTTGTGAATAAATTATTGACTACAAATGTGATACTCGCAACACTTTAATGTTTAATAAGCGGTAGCATTTGAAATAATATTATATTATAATCTTATGATATTTTATTATAATTACATATTCATTTTGTTTCATATGATGAGAGCTTTATCGCCTTTATCAATGAAAATAATATGTAACGCATAGCATAACTGTCAATAGTAGAATGATGTGCTGCTCCAAAATAATATTAGGCGGTCGTACAGGTGTGCGCATGGTATATGGATTGATGGACAGGGGGTGATTGAAGAGTTCGGTTGTAAAACATCTAAAAGCGCATTCTCTCGGTCATATCATTGTTTCGTTTGCCCGTATGGCGTCCTCTTAATAATACCAACTTAATAGTTTTAAATGGTAACATAAATTTTTAACTTGATTATAATATATAAAATGGTGTAATAGAAAAAAAATGACAAGTCGATAATAACTATTGTACTGGTATTTCGGAAATTATTAGTATTTTTATATTTATGCAGATGAAATTTTCGACCGTGAAACGTCTAATGATAAGAATAGTCATAAATATATTAAATCAATAAAACTACGCGACAAATTTGTTGATTATTTAATTAATTCGATATTATTAACTCCCTGGACAGATATTTGAGAAAATGAGTAGTGAAATCATCGAGACATTTAATAAGAGCGACAAATTCAGATGAACAAAATTAAAATGTCATTAATGTATAGTATAATAAATATATTGTGTGAGAGAACGTGACTTTGTACTCATCAATCTGACAACGTCGTTTCGATAGGTCTGTATAATTACAAAGGACAGACCATTGAAATAATTTTTAAAGCTTATGAATTCAACACGTTGCCAGTTTGCTTATTAACTTTGAATTTGAATTTGTCATCGTTTTTAAAATATCTGTTCCATCTGCTGAAAACGATTGTTTGAATTGTCGCTCAAATGTGCTAAAATTATTGCTATTAATAGACCGTCCGGTTGAGTTATTTTTTAATTTGTTATTTATTGCCTATTAGTACTGTAAATAAATTGCATTTATACAATGTATCTTATTTATTAAGTCAGCTTAGTAAATGTTCGGTAATAAAATATATATTATTCAATATATCATTGGTTTTATTAATATTTGCTACACACTATTCAAGCACTACTTTTATTACTTTATAGTTTTTTTTTGTTCTATTTTTAGTAGAAATTGTTGTTATGTTTGATGGAAGTTTTAAATTTACTTTTTACATTTTATTTGAGGCTAAATATATATATAGTAATTTATAATAATTTGATTGATTATGCACTGCAATTAGTAACGGCTCGTGGTTTGAATGACGGGACAATCTCACTCCTACTAAAATTAATGAAAAGAATAAAATTAATTGTATATTCTTAATTCTACATTTAAAAAAATATTTTTTATTTAAAATGCATATTTTTAAATAGTAAAATGGTTACAATACAATTGTCGTGTGCGACCATTAAAGTTGTTTCCCTCAGTATAAGCGGATATTGTGTATTGTGTTTTATTTTACAATATCTAATTTGACAAATTTTGATGACTAGCGGTATTATATTTAAAGTCGCATCCCCACCATTAGCACCCACGAACTGCCATTGACTGCGATAAATTTTTATTATAAATAAATTTTATAAATAATTTTTTTCAAAATTGTGAACTTAATAAATATATAAAACTGTTATATAAAAGTTGCGTGAAATATTACTGAATATTTATATATAATCTAATTAATTTTACAAAGTAATTGATTTATCATTGACACTTAATTTCTCCTAAAGTATTAATAATATTGGAAATATTTTTTTTGGCTTTGTAGAATACTATTGATCCTTCAATTTATAAGTGGTTAAATATTTTTAAGTTTGTTCTATTGTCCATGTAAGAGTACCTATTTTAATTTTTTTAGATGGAAACATACATTTCTAACTTATATGATTATATCTGGTCACAAATATATTAGATAAATAAACTGAAAACTACACAACAAATTGGTAGCAAATGTATTGATTATTTAGAATTCCATGGACAGGTAGGTATTAGAGAAAATGAATATTAAAGTCAAGTAGAACGACAAATTCGAAAAAAGTATCATTAAGGTATAGTATTGCTTTATTTATAAATGGAGAATGTCAAATTTCAATTTGTTTTATAATATTTAGTCTACTTGTTATATTTTAAAGCTAGCCCAAGATCATTTTTTTGGCCATTTTATAAGCAATTGTAATATTTAACAAATAATTGTATTAAATAAAATCTTCAAAATTTTTATTATCATTTTATTGTACTAAAAAAAATTTTCTTAAGTATTTTTTTGTTTTAAAAACTTATGGTTAATGAACTTGGAACTCAATTCTTGCTATTAACCGACGACATATCTAAAATGAAAACTGCCCTCTTCAAAAATGGAACTGAATCGAGACAACACGGTATGAGGTTTGCACAATGGACTAATAGCACTGAGAGTATGGGCATTATATCCACGTCACTAATAACTAAAACTAAAAACTAAAAATTGCCCTCCTTAAAATCTTTAATAATTTTAATTTTTTATAAGTATGTCAAATATCGAATTAATGATTAATCAAACGATTAAATTATTATATGTAATAACAATTATATTATTTATTCAAACTACATAAAACATAATAATAATAATAATAATTAGGTTCTAAACAAACCTGGCATGCTTTAAAAAACACATTGAAAATGTAAATATACGCCAAGGAAAAAAAGAATAAAAAAAATGCAATGTCATATACAATTAGTCTAAATTTTTATTTAAGATGACGTAATACAGAAAATAAAAGATTTTAAACATGTTTTTCGCATGACAACTTTATTTGATCTGTATTAATGGTAGTGTACCAAAATTTTTACTAAATTATAAAGGAGAAAATTATATCTAAAAAATCGAAATTTTTGGTGGCAATACAACTAGATAAAAGTTGTCCCACACTAAACGGTTTTTATGCAAAAAAATTAATTTTTGACTATCAATATGTGGTCGGTCCGTAGTAACATTTATAACATGACTTATTTCCTATCGAGTTGCGGTAACTGATTACTCTCACCTTCAAGAAAGATCAAAACCAGTTAAACTTTATGATTTTTACACGTAAATAAAAATAAAAAAATCTAATGATCGGAAACCTGTCAGACATTTGCATGGAGTTTTTTTTTGTAACATTAGAAAACATACTTGTCACGAGTATGAGTCAGCAGCATACATTGTATTCGAGGCCGGCAGGACGGATCAACCGTTCTTTTAGTAGCTGATTTTTTAATAATCAAAAAAAATCAGATATTCTTTCTCAGAAAAATTAATTATTTAAAAAATATAGGTCATCATGAAAAATTCGAGTATGAGTTTAAAGTTTGCCGGTCTTGAATTTATTTACACGTAGTATAGGGTATTACATTAGAATATTTTTGGATTTTTAACTCATACGTGATAAGAAATTCTAAATTGTTAAGCGCGTAATTAATAATCTCTACATACGTTAAATTTCATAGGATAAAATTGAGTCTTACAAAAAATGAAAAAAATTTGACTTTAAAAATATTTTGTGAAACGCGTGTTTCACAAAACGTGGTAAAGTTTAAATATTTAAGCATACTGATTACAACACAATAGTTAAAAATTATAACTTTCAGTGCTATGTTGTAATGCACAATGAAACAAATATAAATTCATATTTGGTAATTTGTGAAAGATTTTACCAAGAAATAATACACATAAACGAATGCATATATACACAACACACATTTGTTTATACAAACGTATATAGGAATCGTAAAATAAACGCCATTTCACATTTATCAAAAAAATTAAAAATCGCTTTATTATACATAATTTTTTATATTTCGTTAAAATTCAATTTCCAAAGAATCATTACTTATAACAAACCTTAAATTAAATTATTATGAGTAATTCTATGTGTACATTTGAATTGCTTATAAATATTTAATGTGTTATTCATTTATAGACTAAATATTTATTTTATTAGCAGTCTTTTAACATGTAAAAATAGTTATATCACTTTAAGTAAGAATTTTACAAAGATAACATTATTTGAGAAAATAATAGTAACTGTTATTTTGAAAATAACAAAAATAGTTTGTAACAGTTATCAAGTTGCCATAGTTACGTCGGATCGTAACCATAAGTCGCAACGAACGCCAACCTCCTGTAAGCTCTTTGGACATCGCTTTGAAATCTGGGAACGCATTATTGATACATTTTAATAATTCCATAAGTAAATACACACGTATAAACAATAAAAGTACACCGTTAATTTAAACGTTATGGGTATTTAATAATATAAGGATTGAACTACGTATTGTGTAGACTGATATCTTCGGACACAGTTGCTCTGCACAAATAGCATGCGTGAACCATGGTGTGAAATTAATTAATGTAAAGAAAAAAAAAGTATACTTTTTTAAGTATTTTCGAGGTTTTTTTTTTAATATATATGTTTAATTGTATGAATGAAAATTGATCTTTTTGATCAAATGAAAATTGGGCTTGTGAATTGATTATAAATAACGGATTGAAGTGATAACATGGCGATACAAATAATATCGGTAGGAGGACGGAAATCGGGTCGTGGTCCTAGAAACGGACGATAAAATGTTGCACAGTTCAAAGTTCAACTTGGCGTGAGACAAAATACTCCAGAGTTCTTTTTACCGCGAATTTTGCGTCACACGTAAACAAATTAATTTGCGGTTAGGCATTCGCGTTTTACGAAAAACATAAAAAATGAAAATGATTTCTATAAAAGCGAAAAAAGACCCCGAAGAGTATTTAGGGCCTGAAAGTACAGTAAAATAAGTAAATAGCCCTTTTTATTCGCACCACAAATTATGTTATCAAAAATCGACGGCAAGGTTTGTTCGAACTTAGATCAAATACTAACTCTCGGAGATTATAAAGTAACGAAGTCCAAAGTCCGACCTGGAAGTGACAAAGAATTCCCGCCTCGAAAAACCTTTAAATACTATATCACAGTTCAAACCAAGTATAAATTGTATCAATTTTTCGATTATCGTTTGATTGTGTGTACGTACCAAAACAATGAAACATATATATATGTAAAACATCCTACATGCTAAAGAGGCGCAATGTATGTGTACTTATTAATTTATATTTTAAATTACGCACTTATATCCTATATATTAATGACTTATAATATGAATTTTTGCAGTGTGCTCGAAATACAAAAGTACGTCCCATTTATTACGTGATTGTTCAAGTAATTATACCGAAAAATACAATTTGCATCTTTGGGTTGAAATTCTTTTTTTTTTAGACGTAATGTACAAAAATGCAGAGGAAAAGGTCGGGCAATTATTGCAGCATATGACAACGGCCTTCTCTTCCAATCCGTAAACCGGAGAGTTCTGCTTTATGAGCGACCGATACGCAGCAGTAAAGTTTGAAATACATGAGTGTAACATAATTAAAAGCAGAACAAATAATATCGATTTTCCAAAAAATTAAATTATCTAACAAAATAATATAGAATAAATTTTCTGTTTAAAACTAATAAAATGTACAGTAAATAGTGTTTTTCTGAATCTAATGAGACAATATATAAATAAATAAAATGTATAGTTACAATTAAAAACGTGTTTTTTATTTATTTTGATATGAATACTTAATTACAGTGGTTAGTGTAATGGGTGTCAAGTGTGTATTGGGGTAATAAAATGTCAATTAAATAATGACATATTTAAGGGATAATCTTAACGTTTGTATCTACATGAAATAATTAGTTTAATTAATAACATAATAATGTAGTAAAAAATTTAATTCATTTTAATTTATTTATTTTGATGCATAAATATGCACATAAATAAAAAAAAAATTCCAAGTGGCATAAGAAAACTCATATGGCACCTGTTTAGTGAGGGGGGCCATTGGCTAAATAAAAATCGACAGCGCAGAATGTTCAATACGTTGTAAGTACAAAAGAAGTGAAAATGTTATAGTATCCCAGGCCACGCATAATCTGATAAATATAATTACAAATCATATCAATTATTATAGTCATTACTATTATGCAATCTTAAAAAAATAAATATTTAATTATTGCATAATTTTTGTATTACTGTAAAATTGTACATATAATAATACACAATTAGAATAGAACACCACAGATGTTCATTAGTGTAAATAAATATGCACACAAAAATTAAAATTTTATGAATTTATTCAACATACATTAGACATTGCAGTCACCAATAGATAAAATACTGACTATCCAATTAATTTTATTTAACAAATAAAAATGAATTACCTGTGTAATAAATCCATTACCATAATGATATCTACAATTTAAAAATTATATTATATTTACAATTGCTGTGAAATTGTCAAGAAAACATTTCAATAAGAAATAATCATAAAGGGAACCACAAATATAAATAAAGTACACGCAAAAAAAAAAAAATATATTTATATAAAATGTATACTGATGTAGAACATATTGCATCACATGACAACCAATAAATGAAATACAAATGAACCTAATGATTAATGTATGCAAAATAAATTAATTAAAACGTAAAGAAATGAACTTTATTTTAAGAAAAGTAAATAACAATGAATTAATATTTAACATATGAAAATGAATTACCTGTGCAATAAATTTAATAGCGATGACCGCCGAAAATCTCCAGCACAGTTATCCATGCACAACAGATGCACTGACTGAAAATAACAAAATGAAATCAATTAACACTGTTATTACCATTATACAATCACCAATTAAAAATATATATTAACACTTTGATTGCTGTTAAATTGTCAATTATACATTTTATTTAAAAAATAATCACAATAAAACACCGCAAAGACGTTCATAAGTGTGAATATATAAAAATTAAATGAGTAATAAATATTGAAATTTCAAACAAAAATGAATTACCTGTGCAATAAATCCAATAGCGATAACAGCCAACAACAGTCTCCAGACATTAAATCATTAAATATATAGAATAAACTATTTAAAAACTTCTCCAGTATACACAGAGCTAAAATTATTAAATATATCTTATTGTTAATGTTTGATTATTGTACTTTTGGAACTTTAATTTACATATGATATTTATTTGTAAATTTTTCATATATATAATTGTTTTGAGTAGAATATTAGTAATAATAATTATCATAATTCTATTTACGTGATGTCTATAACAGGAACTTTAACAGTGACACACATCTTGCCCCTATGTTACTTCCCTCAGTCATAATGAGATTATGACAGGTTGACAGCCAGTATAAAATTTTGTCTCATCGATAATCCCCGACCCTAAATAGTTGGGATAGAGGCTATGGTGGTGATGATGAATTGATTACACATTACAAACATTAAATATATTGAAAATAATATAAATCTCAAACATTGATGAAATATTTAGTGTAGTATTAATAGTGTTAATTAAGAGAGAGACATAAATTATATGCACGAGGGCGTCAAAATTATAAATATGGCCCTGCCAAGTATATTACAAGAGGAATTTTTAAGTAGTTAATAAACAAATTTCTTGAAATTTAAGTTACATAGTCTCCTTAAACAAAGCCACAAAAAATGTTTTTACAATTGGCAAAATAATATAAATATATTAACGATGATTAATACCAAAAAGTAAAGTTAAAATTATTTAAAATTAAATAAAAACAATAAAATTTTTAGCAATAATAAAAACTATACATATTGTTTGTTTATTAAAACAATTTTTCAAAAAAAAAAAATTACAAATTAATCAAATAAAAATTGTCTCAATAGTAAATTTAGTTAAACTATTTACTTTATAATATAAATAAAAAAATATTTCACATCCACCAAAAGCTGACAGAAAAACTAATTGATTTAGATTCTACTCTATGCCACCATCCTGCTGGTATGAATAACATTTCACCTTTAATATTTAATATCTTATAAATTTAATGTAATTTTACCACATTTCATAGTAGGTCCAGAATTTAGAAAACAGGACAAAATTATTCATAAGACACCAAATTTTAATAGAAAATGATGTTTAAAACAATAATGTTATATTTCTGAAGTATTTTAATAAAAAATTGGCACTATTTTTTGGTTTTATGATAGTTGAGGTGATACAAAAAATTAATTTTAAATGTTCATTTTTAAACCTTTTAAATGATTCACCATATATTAGTATTTTAAAAACAGAAACTATGTAATGTTAGAAAGAAAAATAATGTATATAAAAGCTCTTTATTTTAATCATACATTGACAAATTTTAACTTCTATGTTTAATAATTTTTTCAACATAAAAATAGTTTTAACCAAGATTCAAATTTTATTAATAACTCAATATATCTGCATATAACATTCAACCATGTAATGATCATTATTTTTCATTTTTAAATTCTGGCCCACTATGTATTATTTTGAAATTACCTTCGCTCAATATGCAATGTATAGCTTCAACTTCAGTAAATTTTGGATATGTATTTAAATCTGGTTTTGATGGATCAACTTGGGCAGTATTCTTAAGGAGTTTTTCTTCATATGGATATAAACAATCAGTCCATTTAGGATCAAACAAAAATATATCTTTAAAACCTACCACCTATATTACCACATATTATCACAATTATTAGTTACTAATTAACTTATTTATATTTATATATAACTACTTGAGCCAAAAAATTATTTTTTGGGTCATAATGAGTTGGAGAAATAGTTCCTTTTGGTCCAAACCAAGCATTAATGTCTGGTTCATTGTCATCAGCTTCAGATAAATAACAGTAATCAGGTACCTTAATATCTTCTTTTAATTCAGGAATCTAAAATAAAAAAGTTGTATAAAAATGTTTTCCTTAATAGCTACTCAAACAATTTACTTGATTAAAAAGTTGATGTTGTGCAAGATAAGTTGTTTTTTCATTTGGATTAATCACTTTGTCTTTTATAAATTCTTCTATTGTTATTAAAGTTTGACTCCAATCTTCATCAGCATAAGATGAGCCAATTTCAACTGGTACAGTCCTACATCCCGCAGTTTTTATTATATAATTTAAATCTTTCCATTTTTTCATAGCAGGCCAATGTGACATAGCACCTGTATAAAATTATATCACAATAAAAAAATATTTTCAAGTTGATAAAAAATCTTACCAGTTATTTTTACAGGTATTTTAAGCTTTAAATAATCTCTATAAAAAGTTTCTAAAGAGGGTTGCTCGGAAGTAGATATTGACATTATTTTATCAAAGTGACCAAGAATACATTCATCATTTAAGTGTTTAGGAATTTCTATTTGATCCTCTAAATAATAATGTATAATAAATTTAAACTATAGAGAAATGCAAATAATATTTACATTATGATGTTCTAAAATTTAAATTGGCAATGAATAATTTACTTATGAAATTTGTATTAGGCTGTAGAATTTTACATAAAAATGTTGCAGCCTCGGTTAGTTCATCCCTAAATGAATTTCCCATTAACAAACCCATATCAACAGCTTTGATAGCTTTTTTGATAGAATCTTCATTTTGAGAACAGTTTAGCAATAATTTGGTCTAAAAAAAATAATAGTAATAAAATAATTATTGTGTTACATCATAATTTTATCAATTGATTAATAAATTTCTATCAAACCTTAAATAAACTTGCATGTGAATATAGTTTTCGCATGTCATCAGACACATCAGCCCATGACCCAGTATGTAAAAATTCCCATGTTTTTTCTAAAACAACTTCAATGTTTTCTAAAGCAATTATTGTATTACCTGACTTAGATACTGTAAAAATATTTTGAAAGAAAAATATTCCTTTTTAGTTAAAAATCACAATCTTATATTATTTTAATAATTTATTTTTTGTAAAATTAAATAAAGTTATATTGTTTAATATATTTATATCAAAGATTAACTTACTANAATACCAGTTTTGATTAATGTTTTTGGATAGGAAATTTTATAAGCTTTAATTGGTGTATAATTATTTCCTGGAGTCTTCTCCAGGAAATACTTTTTGTTAAAATTAGAATATAATATAAAATTCATTTAACAGTTTGCGCCCTCTAGCGGTATATATTCTAACTATGTCTGATTAGAAATTGCTAGAAAGGAATTGCTAACTTCATACACATTAATAAAAGTGATAATAAATAAACTATTATGGATAATAAAATAATACGTTAATTTGAATAATTTTTTCACAAAATATATTATTACAGTTGAGTTCCTTAATTAATCATTGTCCGTGGGATTTCATTCCTAAGTTAATTTGAACTGTAATAAATGAATAATAATAATAGAGATTTTTTTATTGAGTTTATTAATATTGACCATTCATATTTTATTATTATAGGTTTTAACTTAACATTATCAACTTAAATTTGTTTTAATAATTACTTTCGAGCTGCAAATAAAAAAAACTACTTTTAATTATGACAATTCAGACAGAAGAAAGTAATTCATTACACAAAATTGTTGTGTTAAATATATTATCTGGTATGACTTATTATATTTTAGTTATTAATAAAACAATCATTGTATATTATACAATCAATTTGAAATAGCTTATAACCTTTTTTATCCTAAAATCAATCAAATTATTATTTATGTATTATTAAATAATAAAACAAATTATTTTTCTACTATCTAATTGTTGGAAACAGCTTTAAAGAATGGTAACAGTATGAAATATATATATATGAGGATTTTTAAAACTAAAAATCATCTAATACTATTTCTGAATGTTAATAAATTATCTTACAGATTATTGAAAATGAATGCTATAGTTATATCAAACTCCATGAACATAATTTGAAAATTTTTAAAAAAATACTTTTTGAAAAAGTCATAAATGAAACATTTTCTTGTATAATCAAGTATTTTTCTTTTAGCTAATGGTTTTGGTTTAATTAAAGGATCAATTATAATAAATGCTACTTTAAAAGGATTAAAATTACAAACGCCAATGATAGTTGTAAATGATAACAATATAAAGGTGAATATCAATTTAAGATGGTTTATAGATAAATTTGAATTTAAAAAGTAAGTATCTATATAAAGTATATAATAGCTATATGAGAAATAAAAGAGTATTATTTCAAATATGTCTGGTTGTTCAAGGTTACGAATGTATAATGAATCAATTAAAATTGAATGTTTTCAACTGCCTTTTAATGATCCTGATAATTTTGAAAAACTTGGATATCTGTTATTAAAAATTAAAGGGGCTCAAATTATACAAACATCGTCTAGTTGCAAAGTAATACTTAAACATAATTTTTTTTTTTTCCTACTTGGTACATTTATTATATTTCAGATAGAAAATAATATTTACAAGTTAATGGGTACTAAAAATGGTAAATATGAGATGACATTATCTTTACGAATCGAAGATAACAATCCAAAAATTACTGAACTCAAATTAAAAAAAAGTTTAAATTTCAATATTGAAAATAATTCTGGTGAAAGAGTACATCATGAAGGTTAATTCAATAATATATTAATAATAATATGTTTAAAATGCATATTTTTACTAATTAAATATGTAAATAAATTTATAATTCTTTAATTACAGAAGATCTAACCTTCAACAATAATGCTGCTTTAATTTTTAATGAGACTCAAATATTAGAACAACCAGAAATAATACTAAAAAAGTAATGTATATTTCCTGCTTTTAATTAATAGTGTTATACATAATGGAGCATAAATTTTAGTGAATCAGAATGTAGTGCTGCCCAGGAGAGGAACATTAAAGAATTGGAGAATTGGATGAATAAACAAATAGCTCTATTTGATGAGAAGGTGAATGATAATTTAACAATTTTTATTATTGGTTTTATGAATAAACATACATTTTTTTTTTATGACTAGATAAAAATATTAGAAGAACATTTAGTAAAGAAGTTAAAGTGTAATTGTGTAGAAGAAAAAAAACATTTTGAAAATGAACTTGCTTTTCAAATTAATCAATTTAAAGAATGTACCAAAAGTGTTGATAAATTAGTAGTTACACTAAAAGAAAAAGAGGCTCAAATAGCTTCTAGAGAATTAGAAGTATTTTTTTTTTTTAGTTATTTCCTTTAATATATTTTATTTAATCTATATTTAATCATCCAGAAGTGATTGCACGATCACCTCATTTTTTTTTTAAATTTTCATAGTTTATTTTTTATGCTATATTTAGATTAAAACAATTTCTTTTTATAACCTTACCATTTTTATGGCTATTTTAATGTAAAAAGTGTTAAAAATAGTCAGAACGTTAAAAACACAGATTATTCAATATTAATTTAATTGAATTTAAATTTTAGAATTGAACTTATTATGACTAAAAGATTATATTAAAAAAAAAATCAAATATGTTAATAACACAAATATTAATCTAATTTTGTACTATTAAACAAAAAACATTTTTTTAATTTACAATTTTTATACTATTTATTTTTATAAATTGTATTTAAATAATAATTAATCTATATAAAAATCTAATAATAAGTTATTAAAAAGATAGACGAGTTATGAAAATTGTTTTAAAAAAGTCTGACTAATATTTCTAATAGTATCTTATAATTGAATAAATTATAAATAATAATTTAAAAATAAATTCTATAATTTTACCCTAGGGTTTTTGAGAGAGTGAAATATTTGCACTGTCCATTAAAGAAAGCAAACCCATAAATACTAACAAAATTACAAATTAGATCAATACTTTAATAAAAATTATATTTAAAAAATGTACACAAAATAGCTGATACAAAGAAAAGAAAATTGTTGCCTGGAATATCAATTAAGATTAGAGCTCCTTGTAAACAATTTTTAATACAATCTAAATAAAATATATAATATTATTTTATTTAAATAATGTATATTAGATTAAAATAACACTAATATCAATTTAATTAATGTTACTTTTTCAGTTGGATAGTTATAAAAATAATTTAAATGACATAATTCACAATTTACAATCATCTTTGTTGCTTAATAATGCAGAACTTAATACTACTACATTAGAAACTAAGCATGCTGAAAAATCAAATGATGAAATTCAATCCAAATTCAGTATTGAAATATTGCAATTAAAAAATGCTTTAGTAAGTTTCAATTTAATATTAGTATAATACTATATATCTAAAAACAAAATAAACAAATTTTTTGAAGTGAAACTTCTTTATAGAGGATCCAAAAAATAAAACTCAGCACAGTGGGGATGTGGCATAGTTGGGTCAAGTATCTGACAGTGATTAAAAACACTTCGACACAAATCTGTAGATAGTGTTTACTTTTAAAAAATTGATGGATTATTCCAAAAGCTACACAATCTCCTATTTTCTTGTTTATATTCTGATTACAAGTTATGATTTATAAGTGTAATATATATATATATATATATAATAAATATAAATGGTATTATTTAAAAAAAAAGTATGTCGAATAAAGGATGTATATAAATACTAGTTCTCATGAAAAAATTGTATTGATCCATACATATTTCAAAAAGTTATAGCATATGGTCATTTAAGCTGAAGAACTAAAACTTAATATTCTATTATTTGAATGTCTATGAAAGAATTTTCACTTTATCCGTGTGTAATCGTAACACACGCCATTTTTTTTTTTATTGTGAAATAGGTAGTTTTATTTGAATCATTTTTAATTTTATTTATAGATAGATTTAGAAAAACAGTATGGAGAAGCTCATAAATCACAGATGTTTTATAAAGAATGTTGGTCCAAAGCTGTTAGAGAATTGAATCATTGTCGTACACAATTATATAGAACTGAACACAATAACCATATTTTAAACAAGACATCAAAGTAATGATTATACATTTTTTATGTAGGATCGTTTACTATTCGTTAAGCAACAATTAAATTTTCCTTTGATTAATTCAATTGTATGTATCACAAGGAATTAAAAGTTTATTAAAATTATCAGATATTACTAGTAAAAATGTAAATATTGTTTTTAATTCTTGAAAATATTTCAATACATATATTTTTAATTAATCAAATTTGCAAAAATATGATATTATATGAATATATCCTCTTAAAATTAAAATATGCAATTATATGCAAAAAAAATTTTTTTTATGCAGGTTCTTTGTACTGTGAATTATTGACATAATATTAATCTCATAGTTGTGGATATATTCATTAAAACATGTTATTACATTGAATCCCATGCTTTAATCATTTACATTAAATTTATAATAAATAAAATAAAAAATTTTGAAAGAAAAAAAATTTTAAGCCTTGCTATTAATTAGTATTATTTTAATACAATTAACAAACATGTTTATATTTCATATTTAGTGTAAAACCTGTTATTATTGACAAGCATAAAAAAGATGAAAATGTCCAGCATTTATTGAAAGAACTAATTGAATTAAAGCAAAAGATTAATAAAACTACACTTAATAATGTATTTTTTAGTTAACGCTTATTGTTTAAAACAAAATATTGTTTGTTAAGAAAATTTTATATTTATTTCATAGATAATTTATACATGTTTATGACACAAAAGTTCAAGAATTATTGAATTTTTTTTTCTTTAACATATAAGATTTTTGTAATATAATAAAAAAAACTATAAATATATTGTATATGTATAATCATATTTTTATTTAGTCATGGATTTATGACAATAATTATTTTCAGCTAAATAATATCATTGAACGTATTTTTAATAAATCATACAACAGTTCAATTGATCCAACAGTATTTTTTTAGAAAATTAAAAAATAAAATTATCAGAACCTTATTTCTCTTAAAGCTTATAAAGAATAATTAAAGAATACATAGAAATATTCTCATAATGTACAGAAATCTTCAAAAATCATAAAATTATTATAATTTTACAAATATTTTTGTTTGTATTTTATTTGTATTACTTGTTAATAATTATATTTGTATTTTATATAGTTCATATTAAAATTTATTTGCTGTCAAAAAAAATTTTTTTATGAAAGTTTAAGTAGTTATGGTGTATGAGTAGAAATGTTGTTTATAATTGGGGGAAGGTTAAAAAAATCTAATTATTTGGAAAGATTCAAAACAATTTGTCCTTGCTTGTCTTAAACTTTGCTCATACTTGCACTTAAAATAGCAATAAATTAACTTAAATATTTTCATGAGATAATCAAAAAGATTTGGTAAAAAATTTTGATGTTGTGATATAACTATCTTGAATTTAAAATGTAACTAAAAAAGTTTAAATACAAAACCTTATAATTTTATTTTATAAATATTATTTTTATCAAAATGTATTGTGCTGATTTACCTATAAAAATGGCTCTAAGTAATCTCATCACAAATTCTCAAAATAAAGAAAAACTTAATTATGTTTCTCTAGTAAATATTCAAGTATATATTGATGATTCTATGATTTTAACATTAATATTTTTATACACTAGCATTTATTAGGTTTTAAAATTAAAAATAAAATTAAGTCTCCTAAAAATAAATGGTTTAATTTTATTAAATACTATAAAAACATATAACAATTATTTAACATCAATAAATTATTAATAAAACAAAATTTATAAAAGTATAATTTAGGTACATTATGTGCGCAATGAATGTATCAACAGATATGAAAATAAACAATCAATATTTAAAATTATTATGTAATACACATTAAATGCTTTCAATTTAAACAACTCCCTAAACGCATATATATTAGACAAATGTAAAACGTAATATTCATCTATATTTTTTTAAAGTATCAAATATTTCATAATGACTTTTATTCTTATTCAATTTTTATAATATAATAAAATTTTTAATTATAAATATTAGATAAAACATTTTGTATAACTTTGAGATTTGTACATCATTAGAAAAGGACTTATAAATATACAAGTGTATAAATATACAATGTATATGTATAGGGTGGTTCTTATACATAAGTAACATTTTTGTGTAAACATTACTACTTAGATCTAAATAGAAAAACAAAATAACTAATTTTTATGTCACCTCCTTTATCAACTGTTTGATTATTAAATTTGTATATCTTCAGTGTCTCAGACCTAACTGATACATATAATTTTTCATACAATTATGATTTTGTTTTAATATATTTTTTTAATAATTATTGCCTTATTAGACTATGTATAAAGTATATTTTTTATTATTTATCACTATTAAGAAAAAAAATAAAAATAATTTTTTTTTTTTAACTCAAAGCAGCTATTTTTTTAGTCTTTTTTCTTACAAAAATTGTTGATGGATCGATAACAATTTTAGAACAAGTACTCATTGAGTGGGTATGGAATATTGACGATGCATATGTACACCAGTACGAACTGCACCTACCCTCATTACATACCCACACTAAGTACTAAGATCTTACAAACATCGATGGTTGTAACTCAATGAGTACTCAACCTAAAATTGTTCCAACAAAATTTTTTGAAATAAAAAGAGTTAAAAATGGCTAATGGCTAATTCTGAAAAAATTAGAGTTAATATTTTTTTTACTAATTTGAGCCAATTAAAAACTATCCAAAATCATGTTTTACTTAAAATCCACCCTAACATTTACATATAGCTAAAATTATTAAAATATCTTATTATAAATGTTTGATTATTGTACTTTAAGAACTTTCATTAACTTCATGATATCCATTTATAAAATTTATAGGTCATAGTTTTAGATTCAGTTAAATATTTATTTGTTTTATCTTATATACATCAGTTATAAATAGTTTAAACATAAATTATTATTATTATTTATTTATTTTATAATAATTATATTTACTGAGTTACAGAGATGTATGTAAGCTTTAATTTTCATAAAATAATTTTAAAATCGCCTGTTAATGTATTGTAGTATACTTTATCAATCAGTTTTTAACAAAAAACAAAGTCATTAAGTATTAAAATTAAAACAATGTTAGTAAAATAAATAAAATTATGTATTATCTAAACATATTGTCATCATACTCATTAATAAACTATGTTTGTTGTTTCAAATATAAAAAAATATATGTATAATCAAATTTATTATTGTTATGTACAATGCTTGATCTACTGTGCAATTTCTATAGTTTTATTTTTTAATTTATCCTAATATAAGAGTTGGAAGTTCTACTTCAACAAATTACAACCAACTTTAGTACAAATTATGAAGAAGTTTTAAAATGGTATAAACACAAGGAGTAGAAAATTATGTTATATAACAGTTGATGGTTTTTTGTGGAATTAAATAACTCTATACATGCATCCTAGTTTATCAGATTTTGATTTCAGTTAAAAATAGGAACAAGTGAATCATATAAAATGTATCTCTAACAAAAAATGTCAAAAAACTCAATGGTATATAAAAAATACATCATAATTAAATTTTTTAATCATTTTGAAGTCTAAATACTTCAAAATATACTATTGAGGATGCATGTCAACTATTTTAGTAATACAGCTTCCATTTATTTTTTATTTAAAATATAGACGGTGACACAAATATTATGAATCGTAATAAAAATTTAAAATTTAAAATTTTTGTTTTTTATTTTAGTATAGGATGTGCGTTGATAAAATTACATTATGACACATGGCATTGCACAGCACATTGGTAAGCAACAAGGAACTACTGTTGCACCGGAACTCTGTTTTTCTTTGGATTTGTTTTTGCTTTTATATTTATACATTCCTTTGCCTTTGGCTTTCATCTGTGCACGACCCAACTGCCCCTGCTATATAACACCGTGTTAAATTATTATTTTTTTAATTAATTAGGAATTATACTTTTCTTCAAAAAATATTTATCTAACTAATTTGTACGTAAAATGACCCCTTAAATCAGTATATGACTTCCAATTCAACCTATCATCCATCATTTTTTATGGAGGTCCATTTTTTATTTCTCTTTTTGATATATTTTAATATAATTTAATTTTGAGATGAAAAAGGTTTTTTTTTTAATAGCTAAATTTCTTTTGGGTGGCTTAAGTGGTGTAGAGCTATGGAAGATGCCTATTTCTAATAAGAAGGAAATATGAAAGGCCCCTTTTAACTGTTAAAAAAAAAAAAATAGAAAAATTATCATATTTTTTCACTTTATTTTTACATATCTTTGCTTTGATTTTTTGAAAGCCTCATTTTTACTTAAACTACCTCATTATGTGCCGTTAGGTGGAAGCTCTCTCCATTTTCAGTAAATCATTTTACATAAAAATTAGTTAGGATTGGGTCGGATTTTTTTTTCATACAGAGTAGTGTTAGTAAAAAATTAAAACAAATTTTTAATTTCTTACAAATAAAATAAAATTTTGTTAAATAAATAAATAAATTAAAAATTCACCTGTTGCATTTGTTCTTCTTTCTTTACAAATGTTGTAGAGCCGGGTGGATAATACACAGCTGGTCCCGCTACCGACGGGGTGACAACGGTTTCATTGACTTCTGTCAATTTTTCTGGTGCTTTTGGAGTAGCTTCCGGTTGTGGTTTCTTTATAGGTACTGTATATTCAGCTGGATAATTCTTATTTCTGTCGTTGAAGTCATTGGATTTATTTGTGTGGTATTCACGTTCACTATGATAGTATTCCGTTTTATCGCCAAAAGATGCCATTAGATCGTCCAATTTTTTGGGCGGTTTTTGCTGTCCAGGCGAATCGATTTCCTCTCGAGGAAATGGCGATTGTCTAAGTGGCAACTGTTCTTGATGAACTGGAGATGTATATCCGTTGGGTGTACCATACTTGGTGTTTTGTCTTGTCTCGCTAGAATACTTATATGAGTAAACTGTTTGCTGGCCAGGTGGTGTGCTATCCACACTATAGAAATGACACAATTAACATACATCAACGTGATTAAAAATGTTATAGGCGTTAATCATAATTGTAAAATAATCCCACTACATTAGTATAATTTATCAGTAGCTTTAGTCTAAAAGAACAACATGCTGAGAATTTCTTTCTTTTTTTTAAATAATAATAATTTAACACAATAATTATTATAGTATAAAATTTTTGTATTAAAGAAAATTTTTTTTTTCTTTAATACAAAAATAGGTTTTCTTACAAAGAAAATTTAGAAAACAGTGCGAGAGCCCATAAATCTCGGCCGACAAAAATCATTTTGTTTAAGGTCTTCATAAAATAACAATATAAGTAATAATCATGGACCTTAAAAGGTCACATAATACACTAGCGATGTGATCTAAGAAAATCTTAGATCATGTTTCTAATGTTCATATTTTTTTTAAGGTAATTATTTAAAAAATAAAAAGGGAAACCCGTGTATGTTTTTTTTTTTACTAGTCTTTAAGACCTAAGCTACGAGTTCATTAACAATTTAACGGTTAATAAAAATATCGAATATACTTAACGTACAATTCTCTTAATTAAAAAAATAATAGAAACGTACACCCTCACGTACGATCACAACAAACCTCTTACATAAACAGTTACTGACCTCACAGGGAAACGTCGGGTTACAGGGGGCGTGGCATGAGCGACCCAAGACACCTCTTCGCTGTGACATACACACACTCATTACAATTCCTCGATATTAATTAATTCATTATAAATTCGTTTTACAATAAAATACTCACTTGATCCTGCTCGGATCTGATGGGCTGAACTTCTGCACAGGACCAGGTGATACGGTTTTAGATGTGTAAGTATCAATACTGGAATAGCTTTTAGGTTCTAATGGTTGATGTATAGGAGAGCTTGGCCTATATGTCCTTGGGGACCGCGGAACGTCCCTGAATGATCGGTTTTGACTTTCCGAACGATACTCCTCCGAGTAATTATACACTTTGGACTGATCAGGCTCAATGAGGGGTACACTGTATGGCTCATAAGAAGTATAGGTTGTAGTACCGGGAATCACTTTCTTCGTTGTTTCCTTGGAGTACACGGAAGTCTGATAAGTCCCTGGTGCCTTATTTTCTAGTAACTTAGAGTAACTGTGAGCATTATCGATTTCATCCAGACCTATAAACATCCAAAAAATACCTTAATTAATTTTGAATTTACGGAAAAATATGACATATAAACATGAATTTAATTAAAAATGTTTCGTTTACCAAGTGCTCTCTCTTTTTAGCATTTTAACTTAACAAAAAAAATAGCGTAAACTCGGGATATGTTTTATATTGAGCTTTCCATAATTTTATAATCAAAATATTTTATTCATCTTTTAGAAGAATTTTAGACTTTTTCGAAAATTTCAAATATCTAACAGATTAAAATATATTTAGATTCTAGTGTGGCTTAGGTCTTATGGGCTACTTATAATATCTTATTGGATGCCTTTTACATCAAATATTCTGCTTATCATTATATAAATTATGAAATCATTATCAAAATAAAGGTCAACATTTTATTCGGAATGAGCTCCACATTAATTCCCACTGGCTTAAGAGTACCTAACGTATTCATTACGATTAGTCCTCATTATTATGCCTCTACCATGAACATAATCATTCACATGTGATATTATACTTGAATATTGAATATTGAGTTGTTTATATACTTACCTAAAGGTTTTCCGCTGGACGTTGAACTTTCATATTTGGAAATAATTTCGCTGGTAACAGGAGCTTTGTTAACGCTACCGTATTTATGTTCTTCATGTTTGCTGCTATACTGTTTATATGGCGTACTGCTCATCAAAGGTTTACTGTAAATAAAAATAAAAATGAAGACTAATATTTAAAAAATATTTTTTATCATCTTAAAGTTTTTTTGTGATTAAATTTATCTTACATATTTGTAGACTCGTTAGTTGATAACTCGTGTCTAGAATATCCAGTCCTTTGTGAATGGTTTAAGTCATCCAACAAAGAGTCTAGTTCTGATATATTTTTCTTCAAGTTGGTACTACCTTTTAATTCATGTCTGGGCAACGAACCTTTAGCTAGAAATTATAATTTAAATAAATACATCAGTTCTCAATTACAAATAATAAATATGAACATCAGGTTCTTACTCTCAGTAGATTGTTTGTACTCATAGGACGAGACCGTTTCGTAACCACCGGCATTCTTTCCACCACCGGCTCCAGTAGTCTGCCTCTGTGTATGAGTAAAAATCTTTTAGTTAAATTATTATTAAAAAACACCGCAATATATTTATTAAACGACATTAACCAACAAATCAACCGACTGAAGATCTGGTAATCGTTCGTTGAGTACAGAAGATTTATTGCCCGGATTAAGGTACTCTATTTCATATTCTTTATTAGTTTCTGTTTGACCATTTCCAACAGTCCTAGAAGTGCTCTTTGATACCTCCCTGTAACCTGTTGACGATGGGTTGCCCACCAATGGATTGTTTTTATTTCGGGGAAGTGTGGATTGCAAGTCGTCCAGCAAAGACTCTATAAAATTAAAAAAATTGTCCAATTTTTATTTATTTTTATTACTTGTGAAAACATTGCTTTTTAGTCGTAGTGTCATTTAAAAAATAGAAAAATGAAAATGGTATAGACGAATAGGTGAAACGACCTTATATATGTAAATGTTTATTTAAGGGGTTTTCTATTTTTATATATTGTATTCGTTACGGTCCAGACATCCGAAATGTGTCAACGTTCAAACTAACTGTAACGGAACATAAATAGCTTTTGGAAATGAAACACGGTTTAATATTTTTTATTTATTTATAGATATATATTTACATACACCTTGCTTACGGTGAGCCCAGACACATTTCCTTTCCATTTCCGTCCCTTGTTCTTGCGAAATAAGAAAATATTAAATCAAATCAAAATAATTCTACCAGTACTTTTAGCTGGCACGAATTTTTGTTATAATTATATTGGATGGATGTCCAATTGGATTTCGCTAGGTAATTAGAAATGATTCAGAATAAAAAAATTAATAACTTTATAACAGAAAAATAAGAATAATGTAATCGTTATGTAATTCTTTAATATAATATATCCCGCAAATATTTTAGATGAAAATTGCATTTAGAATCAAATTTTTAATACAAGTAAAATACGAAAGGAAGTGTCTAAATAAAAGAAAAAAAATGCTTATCGTAATAAATTAATTTTATGGATTATTTTTTCTAATCTATGTATCTTTTAATGAATATAGTTTGTTTAATAACTATTACAATAAGTAATTAACATATAATTTTAGAAACTAATTATAACCATATCTTTTAAAAATACATCAAAATAGAAGCGAATAAAATGCTTTGATATGGCTCATAAATGCAAATGAACATTGAACTCAATAAAATTAATTGTGGTTACAGTTATCAACTTATTCTTAATTCACTTAATTAGTTTTTAAATACTTCTAATTAAACGATTTTTCCGTTTTAAAGCATACTGCGAGGAGGCGCTTCGAAACTTACGAGCATCAAAAATTATAACATTAAATTCCTAATCGTGATTTTACTCATAAACGATCGTTTCCTCGAGAAGTACATTTATGGAAATAATTACATTGGTAAAGTGAGTAACCATACCGATAAATACGTGACTAATCTATTGTCCATTCGTTCTTACACTTACCTAGTCTTGCTTCGCCTTGATTTTGGTTTTGTCGGCTATACATTGTTCTGTATCCTGCAACATTATCATAAACATTCAAATGTTATCATAAAAATATATAAAATATTAACTTCATAGTAGTTAGTATTCACTATATAGATTCGTATTAATATAAATTAAAGTTTGTTATTAACATTTNAGTTTTTTTAAATTAATAATATTTTTAATATAGTTTTAATTTTACTTAATTAACTAGCCACAAGTGATCAATTTTTATTATACCAATATATATTTCTAGAATCTACACCAAGAATAATAAAATTATTCAGGAGCTCATTTTCCACTTATTTTACTCTATTATAATCATAATATCACAAATGATTAAATATTAAAAAAAAAACGCAGTGCAACCCCCAGAATAAGTCATTAATGATTTATCAGAACGAATGCAGTAAATCATATCATTTTAGGTGTTTAAATTAATAATTATAGTAATGCAAGTCATTTCAAGAATAAAACTTAAAATATATTTAGAAGATCAATCATAATGAGTAGAGTTATGTCATTATTTTAGTATCCATAGACGCGAAAACACGTGACTTCGAAAGTTCTCAACTATGACGTTGACATTGTCACTAATTTTACACAATCATTGCTTGAATTGCAATGTTTTTCGACTTTTGCGTCAAAGCCAACATAATGGCAATTGACCCATTTCATTTTTTGAAACTTTTCAAAACAAAACGGTCTATTTTTACTAGCTCTCGAAAAATATATTTGGGCAATTCTATAGTTGAACTAGTTTTGGATCAAATTAAGCGAGCATAAAATTTTGTTTTCTTTAGAGCATAAAATCTTGTTTTCGAGTCTTTTTTGCGCCAGATTGTAAGACTCTTTGTAGTGAAACTATTTTTAAAAATACTGCTGATATGCCCATGAAAAGATATTGAGGAATTTGCATGTTTAGAATAATTCCGCCTAATACGATTGATAAAAAAATATAAACAAAAATAAATGTGTAGTCAGTGTAATGATAATAATGGACACGTGTGACGATCGTTTATGTTCACATTTTGTCTTATGAGAGGATTGCGGATGAATGAGCCTGTCTTGGCCTTGAGCCATGATTTAATCTAGTCTTTCCTATTTTGCAACAAAATATTGTCAGAAAAAAATGGATCATTTCTTATTTATGTATGTAGCACTCATGTGCTATTTTTAAGGCGAGGGCGGGAGTATTTAAAAAAATAAATATTGCACATTAGTATATTCTAATAATATTTTGCAAATGCAGTTTTATTTTTATAATTTTGGCTCAATTTCATGAAATTAAGATTTTCTTCCGAGAAAAACAAACGTTTTATGCTTGTCGAAAGACCCTTTTTAAAAATGATTTATAAAGTCGATTTGGTTATGCAATGTTTTATGCTGTGTTATAATTTTTTAAACGATATTAATCAGTTGTGTAAGGCAACTAACTGGATTACCAAATCATAAGAAAACATTTTTTATTTTGACGGTTTTGAACTTGGTCTGGCAGTCCTTATAATGTGAAACATAATCCTTACGACGAGGCGCCACAACACTGTGACATAATGTGTTATTATAAAATATTGTTGTAAAATATTAATGACCTATTAATGTGTGTTCAATGTGAAACAAAATATAAAAAATACCGACTAGTCATCCCATAATTCTCCATGTTTAACAATAATGCATACGGAATGCTGAAGGTATACGTTTAAAAAGCGTTTTTGGTATTGTTAGTTCGAATAACATTATATCCTTCGCATCTTACAGCCTGGACACGGTCCAATGGATTTTATAATATGAATACGCCGACTATGTAGTGTCGTATAAATTCAGTTTTGGTAAAATAATAGTACACCAATCTTCTATTTGTTGTATCTGCAAACATCTGCAGTGCCCATAAGGTTTTGTATGTAAAAAGTATTGTTAAGAATTTTACTCACGGACATGCTTCTGTATTAGAATAAACAACACAACTGTTAATGATTAATAGCGAGTGGGCTTTTGAATACATTATGGACAGACTATCCACTGATGAATTAATACAGTCCATTAGAAATGAAAATAATTTTCGTTCTACATTTGCGTAATTAGTACGCATCGTAAAGTAAAGAGTACTCACGGCTAATGTGTGATTATTCTCTGGCACACACATGTTTTATGTCCAGTTGACTCTCGAAAACAACACCTATTCGATTATTTACTCTTGCCAGTGGTTCAGAAACACGAATTATTTATGCGTAGGCAAATCGTACAAAAAAATAACAAATAATAGTTCCGCACCGAATTTAAATAATTACAAGATAGACGATTTTGGTTCGAATCTATCGCTGTTTGACTATTTCTATTGATCTCCTGCAGGTCTACCATTCATTATTGTATTATTCAATCACTTAGTTTTTTCAGCGGTTAATTAGTTAATAGTCATTGAAAAAAACATTCATTATATTAATAGTGTAATTACACCCAACAAAAATGATTGTAATTAGTGTATTCTTAAATTACTTTAATTGCATTGTCTTTTTAGATTGTACTTAGTTATTAAGAATGTTTAATTATATTTTCTATGCATTAAAACAAGCCTAAAAAAATAAATAAACACATTAAGAGTTTAGACGATTTTATATTAGGCCGCATTTAAGGGGGAAAAGGGTGAGATTATCCGAGACGGCACTACTATATAAAAAATTATAAATTATAGAGTTCAAGATTTTTTTTGCTCATTTAAATTTAAAAAAAGTAGCAATACATAAAAATTAGAGAACTTTTTTATAATTTTTATGAGCAAAATAAAAAAGTCGTCGGGGGCAGCAGAGTTGAGTACCCCAGGCGGCACGATTCCTAAATGTGGCCATGATTTTAAATTATTTATTTAATAACGTTAAGAATAAGACTTGATCTTGAATGCACTTCATATGGTAAATGGACCGGAAGGTGTGTTTTTTCCTACACGTTAACAATGCATGCCTATCAAATTGAGAAATTCGGAATGCAAAATACGACCTTGGCTTGGCGGACGCATTAAAAATATAAATAAAAACGCCTTTTTGAGGAGTAGACCTACACCTAAAAGATTTACGTTATGAAGAAATTTCTATTTGCGTGACCGTGTTGAAATTTAGAAGCCTCTAATTACATAAATAAACGTTTATTATACATAAAGAGTGACATACTGTCTATATGGTACTTAAAATGTATATGGGTAACGTTAGCACCAGCAAATAAAGTCAATGAATAAACATCAATAGCAGGTTTTCTTTGCCATGAACATCTAAGGTAAGGCTCTCATAAAAAAGTAGACAGATTATATACTTTGTTAACGATTAACTCAAACAACTTAAATTAAATGAAAACATTCGTTATTTTCAATAAATTAAACCTTAAGGAATAATATTTTAATAAAACTAGTAAAAATTTCACAAGTATAAATCGAGACCAGAGTTCTAATTATTGTGGATAAAACATCATTTTTTATTTTTACTAGAGTAAATTTTAAAACGAAAACCTTACTGGAGGACAAAAACTCATTTAGAAAATTTCATACTACAGGAAAATATAGGACAAAAAATCATATCGAGCGTGGCAGTAGGGCATTTTCCCTTTTAAACAAACATAAAGCAGTGGGAAGCAGTGGAGGAAGGGCGGTAAATCCGTTAATATGGATAGACGTGTGACCGTGCGACCAAATAAGGAGAAGAGTGGTTGCCGCGCGCCACAGTGGCGGCGTCAATGACGTAAGACCGAAAACGGACGGCAGCGGCAAAATCGGCACGGCGAAAACGGCCACGGACCGCGACGTTTTGCCCGGGGAGTGTCGGAGGCAAAGTGGCGACCTTGTAGTTCTTACCGCTACATGTGTGTAAAGTATACGTTTTAACGACAATCAGGTTGACCTTGTCCGCGTCGAGTCGTTGCAGTCAATCCTCGTTTTTTATTTATTATGGCACCAGAGTAAAGCCCGCGCCCATTCGATGCGTCCCTCGTCCGCACCCTTCGCTTCCTCTTGTTCAATCCGAATAGTTTACAAAATCCCAAGAAGCAAACAGCAACGTCGTTGCGAATGTCAGTCTCGAACAGGTGTTCACTACAGAGTACACATATACACCCACTAACTCAAACGGTTTTCGTATAACAATAACAAAACATTAGCAATACTGGTTTTTTTTTCATTCAAAAGGCATACACTGGAAGTTAACACTTGTCCATTTACTTAATTCTTAATGAGTGTATAAGCTAGTCACATTCGAGTTCCTGTTGTAAAATTTACAAAATTTCATTTACACTTAACTAATGGATTTTATAAATATTTGGGTACTAAGACCAACTTCCATTAATAATTAAAATTACCAGTTTAANACTAAGACCAACTTCCATTAATAATTAAAATTACCAGGCTTCATATTTGCTGAGATTTATGTTTAGTTTAAATTGCATGACAGTTTTATTATGTTTATTCATTCTCGAGTTACTTTTTTATCCGACATGATTAACGTAATCTCAGCTCGTTTTAATTTATATTCTTAGTTAAGTATACTTCAATAACTTCTTAAAATTATAATGTTTGAATCTAAATAAGTATTACTCAAGTATCCATTGACTGTTGACATATTGAGGATAGTGAAAGAGGGTGGTAATATTGTTTTTATTTATTTGTCCATATTTTAAAAAACAGGCACAACTGGAGACCATGTTGTTCTATGTCATGTGTAAAATATCATTTAATGCATATAAAGTCTAAACTAAGTGCCAAATAGCACATCAAGTTCTAGTAATTTGTTAAAGAGCTTTTGGCTCATGACGTATGTGTCAACGATTAGTAAATGTTCCACATGATTTTCATTAGATATAAAATTACAAAGAAATATACTAATTTTTGTTACTGTAAGCAAAAATTATCAACCAACAATGTCATATGTACAAAATCAAATGCTAGTGTATAATATTAAATAACACTCATGATACAATAAATTTATTCTTTTTGTAATATAAACTATTATTAAAAAAAAAAAAAAATGATGTTTCATTAAATCGGATAATAAAATATAACCAAATGCTAACAACACTTAAAAAGATCACGTGAATAATTTCTTTACACAGAAATTTTCAATCAATAAAAAAAATAATAAAATTTATAGTGTATAATTTTAATAAAAAGAGAAATTGTTGGTACTTTAAATCAACGAAAAAGGTCAACATTTCTAACACTTGTCATTTTTTAGTTACTCTACAACTAAAGCAAATGAGTGTAAACAAAGGGAATAGACAACACAAAAATTATAATTCCAATATCTATTTAAAAAAATTTTCCTAGCTTAAGTTGTAGAACCATATGTTTTTAGTAAGTCATCAAATATAACATTTGAACTTAATAAAATCACAGACTATATGAAACTTTTCCATATAGTCTACAGTACAATAATTATATGTTAAATAGGCCTATATTCTTGACCTTAATCTTTAGTTTCCACTCAATGATGTTTTTACAATGATTTTGAATTTAAACACAATATAAAGAGTAAATTAATGAATTTATTAAAAATCTGTGCAATGATAATAGAAATCTTTTGCAGATATTACTATATTAGATGACCTATAACGCCTAAACAAACAATGTTCGCAATTATGTTAAAATCAAATTTTAGGTTTTGAAAGTTTTATCGAAAAAATGCTTCCTACACAAATTGGTTAACTTATTAATACGTTTAGTTTGTCCACTGAAACAAATATAAAGCAAAAAACGGTTTAAAACAGTTGGAGGAACCACAGATATTTATGCAATTTCAATGGTTTTTATTTAAACATTTTTGTTTTTATAAACACTCTTACGGATAGTGTTAAATCGACTGACGAAATGCAAACAATTGGAAAAATGTGAGCAATATTCTAAATTGATATTCACATAAACATTTCCATGATATTTTGATCACAACATCGCCAATCTCATTGCTATGATACAACCATTTAACCCAGATGTTGTTTTAAAAATAAAATGTCATGTCGTAAAACTGTAAGATACGGCATCGTTAAAGTGATTTGGTTTTTAATAAATGACAAATTCTGACGTCTTCAGTCGTTCTTTGTTTAATACCGTAATTTATGACGACTTTTCTATAAGGTCACAATGGTACAAATCTACTGTTTATTGCAAGTCCTAATGGTTATATTCTTAGTGATACTTTGCATTTATAACGTCCAGAATTTGCCCAAGTTGTTTTTTAAACGCATATAGTAAACAACGGTTTTAAATTACAATATTTAAATATTAACCAGTAATCATACCGTCAAGGACCTCGAATCTCCAATAAGTAAATTAATATCTTTGAACGATATTTTATTTTAATTATTACAACTGATTTAAGCATTGGACAAGATTGAAAAATTAATGGTTAACCTGAAAGTTTATTCCTATTCATATCCTCTCTAATGATCACATATCCCAAATGATTATTTTGCACTGAATTAGACATAGTAATTTAAAATTTAAGAGATGAATTGTACAACTTTTATCGTTTAATCGTTGAACAGTTATGGAGAAATATACATCTACTAAAGTAATTAAATAAACTATTGAGTACACCCACGTTTTCTGGTAAATACAACACAAGACGAATTTACCTTGAGCCCTACAGTATGTGTTACATGTATTAAATTATTAGTAGGTATGTTCGATCATTAAAACTTAAATATTTGATCTATCCATTCCTGCCAGCAAGACGATTGTGTCTCATTATAGTGTCACATTGCAACTTATCATTTAAATGTCGAGTGGGTATTATGTTCGCCTAGTAGAAAATAGCGTTTGAAGTCTAAGAATAAAAAAAAATTATGTGTTTTCGATCGTCACCAATTAAATTAATTACATCTCAAACTTTTCAACATTTTTACAATCAAGTAGGCATTATGATTTACAAATAATATACGTTTGATTTTGCACAAGTGTGTCGATGGTCTGTCTATTTTTAGCAAATTGTAATTCAACAGAAACATCATCGTAAATCCACCCACATTTTTGACCGTTAAGTATATATTTTTTTTAGTCATGATGCCAAAACCGGACGATCCTTGCGATTCGAAGACCGGAAGTGATGACATTTTTTTTTACAGTTTCGCAACTGTAAGTTATGATTTTATTTTATTATTTGTCGCGTGGGTATACTAGCTTTCGCCCCCGTTTAACTTTAGTAACACTAATATACAACAATATTAGAATTATTTATGCCTATAACAAAACAAGCACCGGCGGTCTAATTCATCAAGGGCTATATTTTAATTTAAAGTTAATGTAATAAAACATTTCTTTTGGGTCGTATGCGTAAGCTCATTGAGAGAAACGATAGAAATCGTAAGTCTTGTGTTAATCTTAATGTTGGCTTGAGTCCACAGGCGGCTGACTCAGCGACGGTTTAAATTTAAAACAAGATTTGTAAAATTGGAAGACGGTAAAAAAGTGTAGCAAAGAAAAGGCCGCAAATCGCGAACGTCATAAAAGCAGACGCCTTCAAATTAATAACAATCATAATAAAAGTTTTTTTTAATGGACTCGTTACAAATGGAAAGATATCTGTTAGTACTGTATGATTACAATTTCATGATCTACTTTTGACATAAATGAAGACTAAAAATAATACCTCTAGTCAAGGCCTTTAGATTTAAGCAATAATATCAAACGTAGTATTATTTTAATCCCCCGACTTTATTATTTTTTGATGTTCAATTTTAATAGGTTTCGGCTGTTTTTTACTACTATCTTAATCCACAACCATGTTTAATCCTTGTTCATAATCTTTTAAAAAATAAGTTACCTTGTGTATATTTTGTATGTAGTACTATAATGGGCATTATATTTGTATCAATATATTTTTTTAACACGCCATGTCTATGGTAAATATAAAGAATGTATTACTATCGGTACACTTTGAACAGGTTATCCGTGTAATATTTATGGCGAGTACGCTCGTATATTTGGCGATTTATTACACTTAAAATAATAAAACTAATCAACTTAATTGATATCCTCTGCAATCTTTTCGGGTATTCATCGACTTAAAAAAGTTTTTGAATAAATATCAAAGGTCACGACGTCTATTGAAATTTATGTCTGTATCTGTAGCGTTATGGTGTATCGGTTATCGATAGTAAACATATTGCGTCCATTCAACACTTGCCTCNAGTTTTTGAATAAATATCAAAGGTCACGACGTCTATTGAAATTTATGTCTGTATCTGTAGCGTTATGGTGTATCGGTTATCGACAGTAAACATATTGCGTCCATTCAACACTTGCCTCGACCTGTCACAAAGTCTATACCACAAATTGCAATAGTTCTATAAGGACGCTTTTTACCTTCGAGCGGAAGTAGCATCACCTTTTGTAGTCGTTGAAATAACCTATTGATTGACGTGCATTTGTTATGATTAATCATATCACACCTATTGTTTTTTTTTTGTTTTTATTCGGCGATAGTTCATTGAACAAAAAGAGTCTGTATATTATTAAACATAAAACTATTCATTAAACTAGCTGAAAATAGATATTAATCACGGATAACATTCGATGAATTTAGTACAAAAGTTAGTTGATATAAGTAAATAGAAATAACAGAGGTACAGTTTTTACTATAAGAATTTTTTGCATTTAACTCAATATTCTACGTGATAAAAACAATTACCGGAATAACATCAAAAGAGTAAATGTCATACGGGTTTCCATACGTATCCATAAATGATGAGAAAGTTTCAGGTGTGTTTGTATAGTTCAAAATACTATAAGCATTATAATTTATAGATTTCTACAGAGTCCATTGAACAAAAGAGATGTTTTGAAAAAGTATACAACAATTGCTATGTAAATTTATATTTTATAAGCGTTGTGCTGATGTTTTATAATAATTTGGACTTGCGGAGACAAAGTGAAGCGATTTCAGTCAAAATCTTTATTGCAGAGGAGTTGACCGGCAAATATAAGTAAGAAAGAAATCTCTTGAAGTAACTAAAGTGTTGTACTGAAGGATATATAGAAATGAACGCTTAAAAGTCATTAACCATTTTGTGATTTATTGTGTAATGCAAATTATATATTCATATGATAAAATATTAAAACGAACAGTTATTGCTAATTTTTATTACAAGTTAAAAATATACTTCGAAACAAAATATTATTTAAATTTTTTTTAGATTGTTAAAACTCAAGATTTTTTTTATTATTAAGAACAGCATTGCAAAATAAGCAACTTTTAGCTTCACACTTAGAATACTTTGTTTTGATAGATTAAATCTTATCAATTCTGTACTCACTAAAAAACCCTTATTATTAATGAGGTATTAAGGGTATTATTATTTTTTTTACAAAACTCTACAATTTTTGTATAAAAAAAAAACATTTTTTTAACGAACGTATACTGAATGAATACCATAAGCACACTGTTTTACTTTTTTAATTACAGCGAATGCTAATTTAATATAAATTCAAAACTTAAAATGATCGTTTGAGTATTCCCCAATGCTTAGTAACAAATACTTCCTTAAAGTAATCGCGTACAAATATTGATCAAACGCGATTTATTGGGTGGTACATTTTACCAAAAAAGAAATCGTGTGCACTTTTCATTTTTGGGAAAAAATAAGGCTTTTCAAAAAAAAACATTAAGAAGTAACTTTAAGTATAAGTCAATGGAACACTAACGTCCGTTTATAATATTCAGGACATTTATAAAATAAAAACATCTTATTCTATTATCAATGTCTCTAAAAATGTAGATGAAAAATTTAATGCTAAAAATAATGTAACGTACCTTGTTTGAAGTGATGTCATATAAAAGTTAAACAGATGAGGAGGCGCGTCGTCGCACTTTTGAAGAAACGGTTCGCGTTTTCCGACTTTTCGGTGCTGTGGCGAAAACTTTAAGTTGCGGCAAAGACGTCGAGCACGAACGGTCTGCCAACTTTTACTGTGCAGACGGACTTCGCGTGAGGAAACGTGCGAAGCGTGTAGGCAATAGAGTGTGGGCGTGGAATGGTCTTGTCGGCTACTACGGCAGTTCTGCTTGTCGATGGTGGTGGTAATAGTAATAGTAGTAGCGTGCAAACAAGACCGTTGTCACCAAACGCTTGACCCGCAGACACTCGACGGATCATTTGCTTCAGGAAAATAGAAATTAAAACGCGTTTTTTATCCTGAAATTCAAACAAGTGGTACTGTTAGTAGACGACGATGATCGAAGACAAGTGGCATTGGATTATGCTCACAAGCATGTTTTTTAAACACATGCTATGTACTCATCACAAAAATGTTATGATACTTCATTATTGTTTTCTTTGCGAATTCCGCTTGAACATCGTGTTATTTGAAATAAAGCATTCGTCAAATATGACTTAATGAAAACGAAGTTATATAAAAATAACTCATTTCTGTTGTCGTCACAATTTTAAACTACACCCGATGATGTCATAATACTAATTGCATTACTGTATTTTTCATTTAAAGTTATTAATGAAAAAATTAAATGTTACACATTTGTTGTTGATAACTCAGTATTGTGAAATTAAGATATTTTTATTATTTTAAGAGATGTGTAATTTTATTGCAGAGTTTACACCAAACTTCTTACAATTGTTATTTTTATTTATAAGTGAACTTCAATCTATTCGTCTGTTGTACAATAAGCGATTATTATAAAAAAATTATCAACAATGACATGAATGGCGGCGGTACTGACGAAAACACTCGATGGGATCACCCGACAGCTTATTTTATTGGATTAGTTTTTTTATTTTTATAATTATTATTAAGTTTTAAGAAGGTCTTTTGAGGCTTGCTACGTTTTAGCCTTTTGGGAGGACAAGGTTAGTGGGAAAAGTTGCTCATAGATTATTTAAATGAGATTTTAATGCACAGGAGGGGGAAGATAGAAAACATAGATGTTTATTTTTATATACAATTTTTTTTTTTAGAAGAATAAATTTAGGCCCCTTTCGAATTTCTATTTATTTTAGCCATATTTAAATAGTTTACAAATTAAATACGTATTAGAATCCTAAATACTCAATATTTTATTGGAAATCAAAATTGATTTTTCTATATCTAAGCAAAGATAAGATCAAATAAAATTAAGTGACGGTAACTGGGATGATAAAGTTAAATAGAAGAAATATAAAATTTAATTTAAAATTGCCATTCAATATTATTTATTATTTTTATTGAAATCTGTAATAAATTTTATTTAAAATATAATAAATATTATATAAAGTAATTGAATCTGATAATATATTAATGCCTTAGAAATAATTGGTTTAAAGTTTAAACTTCAAACATATAAAATTATTTTACTCACTTTTAGATGTTAGACTTACAGGAAAAAACCAAACTGGTTCTTTTAGCTTCGATGCGAAGCTGAGAAGGTATTGGTTTTACTAAGATGTGTTTTTTTTTTGTGTCTGTTACCACTTTTTCTCAGCTCTCACCAAACCGATTTCTTTCAATGATACGTCAAAATATCACAAATCGTATCTAGTCGAAGACATTACCCTCAAAAATTGAAAAAAATTCCCTCGTTCACCGTAAATGGGGGAAACCTCCGAAAAAATTACAAATTTAAAAATGGCTAATTTTCTAAATTTTTTCAATTTTTTTTACTAAAAACTGCCGTAACTTTTTTAAAAATAAACATATCAATATAATTTTTTTTTTATAGATGCATGATGTCATTACCTATCATTTGGTATATTTTTTTTATAAATCTGACTTTTTACCTGCCCACAGGAGGGGATTTAAAATGACAACTTTTTTACAAAAAATTAATTTTTTCAACTTAATTTTTGAAGGTGTTCCGGAAGGTCTGACACTTTTATATATATCTTAAATTAAAGCTAATATAATATACTTTATAATGGTAAAAAAAAATTTCGGACTTTATTTTATCTTCATGGTAAAAACAGACATTAAACTTAATAAAAAAAATACGATTTTTGTAAAAAAATTCTTTTTTATATTTTTAACTTTATAATGCTATAACTTTTTGAAAGATGTACGGATCAATATAATTCTTTTTTATGTAGATGCATGATGCCTTTACCTATCATTTGGTATATTTTTTTTATAAATCTGACTTTTTACCTGCCTACAGGGGGGGATTCAAAATGACAACTTTTTCACAAAAAATTGACTTTTTCAACTTAAATTTTGAAAGTGTTCCGGAAAGTCTGACACTTTTATATATATCTTAAATTAAAGCTAATGTAATATACTTTATCATGGAAAAAAAAAATTTCGGACTTTATTTTATCTTCAAGGTGAAAATGGCTACCAAATGCTATTATTGTGTGAAAATTCTCAATTTTTTTTTTTACATTTTTAACATTATAATGCTATAACTTATTGAAAAGTGTATTGATCAATATAATTTTTTTATGGGAAATACTATTTTCTAATAATCTCTTTTTTATTCGACATACTTTGTCTTAATCAGGATATTAATAAGGAACTAGCAGTTTATGAAGCTTTTGGAATAATCCACCAATTTTTTAAAATTAAACACTATCTAAAGATTTGCATCGAAGCGTTTTTTTTTGATAGTGATTTTAATCACTGTCAGATATCATTATACTTGATCCAACTATGCCACGTCACCACTATGCCGCAACCCCCCTGTGCTGGGTTTGTTACTGATGTTTCTCTCATTCTTTTAGCTTCGATGCGAAGCTGAAAAGGTATTAATTTTACTATGATATGTTTTTTTTTTAATATTTAAATTTTTTTGTGTCTATGAACGCTTAATATCAGCTCTCGCTGAACCGATTTTGATGATCAATATGTGAAAAGATCACAAATCGTATCTAGTCGAAAAAATTATCCTCAAAAATTGAAAATAATTCCCTCGTTCCTCGTAAGCGTGGGAAATCCCCCAAAAAATTACAATTTTAAAAATTAGTAATTTTCGACATTTTTAAAAATTTTTTTCTTAAAACCGCCATAACTTTTTTAAAAATGATTGAATCAAAATGATTTTTTTTATAGATACCTTAGGTGCCTATTATTATATAGATTACCTATAATTTGGTATAAATAAATGTTCAAATGTTCACATAAATGTGAACATTTGACCCTTTACCAGCCCACAGGGAGGATTTCAAAATGGCAAATTTTTCAACTTAACTTTTGAAAATGTCCCGGAAATACTGATACTTTAATATGTACGGTTACCGATTCGGTTACACTTGTACCTTACGCGCTTAGGGTACGAGGTTCAAACCCTCTTATAGCTATGGTTTTTTTGCACTTATTTCTTAACTCTTTTTGAGTTAGAGAAAAATTTTCAATTATCTAAATATCAATTATTGATTTTTATCTCATTGAGATTCAATAACTTCAATAAAGATCAAGGATCCTATCACTGTAGTCTCCTCGTGAGAAGAAATTTCTTATTCATATTAAAATTATTTTACTGTGTGGTTTTTTTTTTTGTGGCTGTCATTTTTTTTCTCAACTATCACTTGAGCAATTTTTTCAATGATACGTTAAATAATCAAAACTAGTGTCTAGTTTTATAGAAACNAGAAAAATTTTCAATTATCTAAATATCAATTATTGATTTTTATCTCATTGAGATTCAATAACTTCAATAAAGATCAAGGATCCCATCACTGTAGTCTCCTCGTGAGAAGAAATTTCTTATTCATATTAAAATTATTTTACTGTGTGGTTTGTTTTTTGTGGCTGTCATTTATTTTCTCAACTATCACTTGAGCAATTTTTCCAATGATACGTTAAATAATCAAAACTAGTGTCTAGTTAGAAATATTACGTTCAATAATTGAAAAAAAATCCTCTTTGTCAAATGAAACGTTGCTTAACAAGCTTTTTCCATATAGAGAATTAAAATCATTCATTTTTAATTTTTAAAGTACTTATTATCGTATTAGGTTTGATATGATAATAAGTTTGAACAACATAATTAAATAATTTTACTTTGTAATTTATTAATTTTTTAACTCTATTTGTGTGTGTTACTGTAGTTCCTCTCGTGAGAAGATATTTCTTATTCATTCTAAAATTATTTTACTATATGTTTTTTTTTGTGACTATCATTTATTTTCTCAGCTTTCACTTAACCTATTTTTACGATAAAAATGCAAACAAATATTGAACTTTTCTGATAAATTTACTGTATAATTTATTTAATAGTAATTATAAAATTTACTGACTGCATATTAATTTTAACAATAACATTTTTTTAATTCTCATAAAATTTTCTATTTAATGATGTCAATTTCAAACTTGTAAGTTGAGCTAAAAGTCATGGTAACNCAAACAAATATTGAACTTTTCTGATAAATTTACTGTATAATTTATTTAATAGTAATTATAAAATTTACTGACTGCATATTAATCTTAACAATAACATTTATTTAATTCTCATAAAATTTTCTATTTAATGATGTCAATTTCAAACTTGTAAGTTGAGCTAAAAGTCATTGTAACAAATTCAACTTTTTTTATTCAATTTTTACAAAAACAATTTTAAATAACCAAAAAAATAGGTTAACATTTCATTTTACACTGATTATTTTTAACATATTAAAAATCAAAATCAGTAATAATTTGAAAAAAAAATTTTTTTTTTGGTTTTAATAATTTTTTTATTGTTAAGTACTCATTTTCTACTAGTTAGTAATAATATAAAAAATTAAAAGTGATAAAAAAAGTCTAATTACAGATTTGAAAATAGCGCGAAAGTTGAAAAAGAAAAGTATATTTTTGCTTCCGATATAAATTCCTTATAGTCCAGTGTATTTATTCGTCAGTAACAAACAGTTTTTATTGAAATGTATTGCATCAAGCCCGATACATTTTTATACATGTTAAAAATAAAGAAATATACAATTACTTTATTATTTTTATCATTTTTCCATATTAATTTTAATATGGATTAATAATTAATATTAATTTCTCCAAATTTAATATTAAATTATTGATATTCAATTTCATACTAAATGTAATAACTATAATTAGTATTTATTCCTATATTATATTTTTAAATCAAAGAACTACTAATCAGGATATAATTAAGGAGTTGATTTTATTTTTGGAATAATTCACCAATTTCTTAAAATTAACCACTATCTACAGATTTGCATAGAAACGTTTCTTATTATAGTGATTTTAATTACTGTCAGATATCATCAATACTTGTCCCATCTATGCTTCGTCCACACTGTGCCTCGACCCCACTATGCTACCGTTTTTCTATATTACCTTTTCCCAAATCTTTATACTATAAATCATAAGCTTTATGCCTATATAATTATTAAATATCGGCTTTACAATACTACTCCTCCATTCTTTAGGAATTTTCCCTTCTAATAAAATTTTATAAAAAAGATCCTTCAACCATCTATCCCAACACCGCCTAATATTTTCTATACTTCTACTAGCACTTTATTTGGTCCTACTGCTCTATTATTTTTCATTGACGCCGCAGCCTCCCACAACCATTTTTAAAAACTTTTTTTTTCTTTTTCCCCTTTCAATTTTCACCACTGAATCTTCATTCGCATCACCTATTATTATCCCTACATCATTCTTTGTATTGGTCTTACCCGAATATGTTTCTACCGATTTTTTATTAATTCGGTTTCTTTCCTATTTCCACCGAAATATTGATGCGATTATTATATAGAAAGTTCAGTAAGTAAGGAAACGGGTTTCTATTGTTTTTATTGTTTGTAACAACTGATCTGTTCCCTTATTTAATAAACACTCAGTATGTAGGGATAAACCATATGTTCAGAGACCCACCTCTCTGGCGAAATTATATTATATATTATATATTATNAGGGATAAACCATATGTTCAGAGACCCACCTCTCTGGCGAAATTAAGTATATTTTTGGTTTTTAAGCACGTGATTCAGTTCAATAAATAATATTTAGAAAAATTGTAAGGGTATTAGCCCCAAGTGTTTTCTTTGACAATTCCTGAAAATGTTTAATTATTAAATAAATATTTTTAACCCTGAAAATGGATAATATTTTAATATGCATAGATAATTGTAATTCCATTGATACTTAACTAATCATTTTAACGATATACTAGCTGCATTCTGTATTAGCTATATAATGATCTTTATTTAGTGTTTTCACTTGATAACGGTTTTTAAATAAGGAGACATTTTTGGGAACCAATTGTAAACGGTATTCTAATATACTACTAACTTCAATACGTCGGTTTGTATAGTATCATACAAATTCTTAATAGTGTGTGTGTGATTGTTTCAAAGAAAATGCATTTTGTTTTCGGTTTAATTAATTTAATAATTGTACATTTACTTTGAGCTTTAGTCATTCAGTGTTAAATAATTTTATTTAATTATTCTGAGCACCGTTTTGTAAGTATAATAAAATATTATGTATTGTTGAGTATTAACCTCAGATGTGTTGAGTGCGTTGTTTTGTCATTCACAGTTGCCGCCATTTCGCACTTGATGAATTTTACATTTTAAATATAATAAGGACTTAGTACAATCAACGATTGTTTTTACCTATGATTTTGTATCGCTAATTGTGCTAAAATTTCTACAGAGTTTAACTTAAATGTGTATTTATAATACTTTTTTTAAATTGTTTCACTATGTTTTCATATACATAAGTTATAAAGTTGCTTTGGCTAGTTTGAAATTTTTTTTATTAATCACTTAATAGAAATTATAGTAATCTATAATAAACCATAGTAATCTAGGTTTTTTTCTATAAAATAAAGATATAAATTAAAACATCTGTTCATTTATCTATTATTTCAAAATACATTTTATAATTAATTTGACATGATGAAAAATTTATATTTGTTTATTTATACTTAATTTTATTTTCTTAGCTAACAGATTATCAATGTCTACTAAAAAAGTGTATACTGTTAAAGACAAAGTCTTTGCTAAGGTTCGTGGTTATCCTGCATGGCCTGCTGTAATATCTGGTGTTGAAGCAGATACACCTTCACGCCAGCGATATCATGTATATTTTTATGGAACTGGCGAACGAGCTGTGTGTAAGTCAGATGAACTTTTTCCATATGAAGAAAATAAAGCTAAATTAGGAAAACCAAATAAACGGAAGTACTTCTCAGAGGCTCTTATACAAATTGAAAATGACGCTGATAGTTCATTCATTACTGATGGAATTATTCAAGCCTTTCAAATACCAACTATTGTTGATCAAAGCAGAGATACAACTCTTAACGAATCAGAAAGTATCTCTGAGTTAGAAAAAACTAGTGATATAAATTCTGAAAATGAAGGAAAATTAACTATTGATGAAACAAATGCCTCTAAAGGAAAAAAATCATTAGGTTTAAAAAAAAGTTTGGGACTTTCTTTGCCTAAAGGTGGTGCAAAAAGAAAATTATCTGATGGAAAATTAGAATCACCTGCCAAAAGAGTAATGTCTAACAAAGGGAAAGGTGTGGAAGATAATGACTCTAATGCAGTAGTAATTATTGAAAAAATTAAAGAAAATGATATAGATGGAACTCAGGTAAAAAAAACAATTATCTACACTTCATGCAACTTTTAACTTTATTAGCTATGAGTAAAGAGCATATTAATAAATTTTGTTAAGTTATTCCAAACACCAACCAATATAAATTTGTATTAATTGGCTTACAAATTTAGTAATGAAATCTAATTGAGGTTATAATGTTAGGTGATTAAGGGGTTTATTGCTACCTTAAACAAAAAATAAATTTACATTACTATAAATTCAAATAACAAATTTGCACAATCTAGGGTACTTTTAAAATGGCCCAAACAAAATGTATAAATTCATATAAATCCACTTATGTTATAAGAAAAAACATAAAAATTCCATTTTCATAATCTTAACATGAGAGATAATGATTGTTTGGTTTCTAATTTTATAATTATTAAAAGGTTTTGTTTATATCACTTAACATCAATAAGTATTTAAATTTTTCTACGAAGTATCAAATTTGTATGCATACGTATGTTGCAACAGAAAGAATTTTAAACATTATATTTTAAGGTTTTTTTCTGAAAAATTATGATTATTATTATTATAATAATAAATTGTTTTTTCAGATTTCCAATGAGTTATCGTCTAGTGAAGGGAATGATTCTTCTGACAAACATTTGGAAACACAAAACAGTAAAAATGATTCTATGTTAGATGTAAGTGACGCTTCAAAATCACATTTAAAATTAAAAACTAGCCCATCTTCTAGTGGAGAACAGTCTTCTAATAGCTCTAATATTGGGCAAGTTTCACGCTCGGGCCGTAAAATCAAACCTAAAAAGTATTCCGATTATGAAAATGATGCTGAAGCACCTAAAAGATCAAGACTTAGCAAAGATAATAATAAAAATTTGGACAAGAGTAATGTAGATTTGGACAATTCATCTTCAGAACAAAATGAGTTGACTAAAGGTAACAGTTTGTTTAAAATCATATTAAAAAATTCATAATTTAGTTTTATTTGTAGACAAGTTAATAATAATAGTAAATAAAAAGTTACTTGTGTTTACATTCTTTTTATTCATTCTGTTTTGTTTTCTAGTATTGAGTGAAATGTACACTTTTTGTTTAATGTACAAATTTTTAAAAATGTATTAGATAAATTATACTTCTACTTAATCAACTGTTTATACTAATATTGTTTTTCTAAAAGGGTAAATACTTTAACTTAGTTATAAAAAAACCATGTAGGCATAGTTGATATGTGTTTATTGCAATCAACTAGTGTTAACTAAATCAACAGTTAAAAAATAAGTATCATTATGTCAAATTATATATGGTTTTCATTTTTGAAAAATGTTAGTTACAAAATAAAAACTTAACTTTCATTGTATAAATCCTTTTCCCAAAACCTTAGTATTAAAGTTGAAATTTCTTTCACACTTAACATAATTTTCATGTTGATGCTATGTAATAAATATTTAAAAACCTTTTTGTTTGTTTTCTTAAAATTAATGAAATTTAATACTTTTATGTTTATTGGTACAGAATCTATCAAAAAACCTAAGTGTCATGCCACTTCTCTTAATATTAATGATGGTGTAACTAAAGAAATGAATCAACTAAGTAAAACAATTACTGAAGATAGTGAACTACCAGAAAAGCTCAAAGATCTAATGGCGGGTGCTATATCTAACTGTGAAGTTGAATGGAAAAAAGTTACAGCAAGCAAAGCAGTAAAAGTAGAATTTTTAACTACTGAAGTTGATTTATTAGACTGTGTTTATCATCTTCGCATGGCTCTGCGTACTGATAAAGCTGATTGTGACCGTGCTATAGAAGTATTAGATCAGATGGCAGAATTAAAACTAAGTACATTAATGCTTAAAAAACACTCTGAGGTAGTAGATACTGTGAAAAAAGTAACTATGTATATTGGTAACATCAAAGAATGGGGATGTAGTGAGGAAGAAGCTAGTGCAATTGCTGCAAAAACTGCTAAAGTGAGACGTAAAGCCAATATGGTGTTTAATAAATTTAGATCACTTTTTACAGTACCTGAAGGCCAATCATTCCTAGACACGTTTAAAAAAGAAGTGGATGAATTCTACACTAAAACCAAACATTTGGCATGTGACCAAATTTATGGGCTCACGTCAGAAAAACAATTAAATTAAGTATATTTGTTAACTCTATGTTTATTAATTATTGTGTAGATACATTCAGATCTTAAATTGAACTTTTTATATTTAAAGTATTTTATTATTATTAATTTTGACTTTATTTAATGGCAACATTTGTATTTGTATCCATAATGTAGTTTTTATCAGTTGTAATTCGCTATTGAGTATGTTTATTCTATAAGTAGAATCCTAATTTATTTCTAGAATATGTTTTTGGTTTTTATCCGTATAAGTTATAAAACATATCTAAATATTTTTAATTATTTAACATATGTTTTATGTATATTTATTTTCCATAGTAAAAATATCAAACAATTTTTTTGTAGAATAAATAAAAATTTGATGTTGCTGATTAAATATATTTTATGATTTGATTTTAAATCAAATCATGAGGTAAAAAATTCTACTTAATGATATATCTCATAGTCATTTTATAATTATGAGACTATTTCAGAAGTGATTTTATTACTAAATTTTTTAGTAGAGGAAGATTACTATTTCTTGAAAGTTTTACTAATAAAATAGAATATAGCAGAAAATCTACCTACGTTATTTATAAGAAACAATAATGTGTATTAATTTTTTTGGTAATTTTAGTTATAGGTATAAATTAATATTTGGTATTATGAAAATTATATAGAAACGGAATTATGATTTTTTTTTTGTTATGAGTATGTCCTTTAATTTCATCTACCAGAACTTTTATGAAAAAAAAAATTATTTTTTGAAATAAGTTATATTGTAAAAATATATATATTTTCTTAATTGACGGACTTAAATTATTAGTGATTTGTAGAATCAATTTTTTTTCTGTTAAATACTATGTGTAAAATTGTACTATTTTGGATTTTTTGTTATTTATTAATTATCTCTTTTTTTTATCAAGATTTGTGAATTTTTAAAGAAGTTATATCAAAATGAAAAATTTTAGTGGAAATTAATCAATTTTTTAAAAGTTAATTACTCATATGAAAAGAATCGTTGGAACGTTTTTATTTTGTTTTATCTTACGGAACTTTAAATGTGTATAATCTAGAATAGTGCAGGTTATTCTTATCAAAAACTTTAAAATTAGACGTTTTAACTGAAGTTGCATGATTTTTGGATTATTTGGATTACTCATGCACAATAAGTTTTTTGATATTTTTTGTTTTATTAATTTAAAGTTAATTTTATTAACATTAATTTGACATAAATTTTAAGAATGCAATTTTTTGAAATAATATCAAAACTTGAAAAAAAACTTTAACATGACGTTTAATTTCCCTTCTCCATTAATTTTTTAGTTGATTTTTGGATTTTCAAAAAAAGTACAAAGTTAGCTTCTTCTTCCTCGACTTAATCCCAACTATTTGGGGTCGGCGACCCTTATCCTGAACTTCCACTTGACACGATCTCCCACATCCTCTACGCTCACATCAGCTGTCCTCATATCGCATTCAATAACATCTCTCCATCTCTTTTGGTCTTTCTCTACCTCTTATTCCTTCAACATTCATTTCTATAACTGTTCTTATGGCTTCCGATTCTTCTCTCCTCATAACATGACCAAACTATTTAAGTCTACTTTCTCTCATCTTATCAACGATTGACACTACACCTATACTCCCTCCTATATGTTCGTTCCTTATTCTATCTTTTCTAGTCACTCCACTCATCCATCTAAGCATTCTCATCTCTGCTCTATTTTCTTATCAACCGCCCAACACTGAACTATACATCATAGCTGGCCTTATTACAGTCTTGTAGAATTTACCTTTCAGCCTCATTGGAATTCTTTTATCACATAAGACGCCAGACGCTTCTCTCCACTTCGACCACCCTCACTTAAACTGTGTCTTACATTCTCGTAAATACTATCGCTCTTTTGCACAACTGATCCTAAATACTTGAAACTTTCCACCTATACACTCACGTCCTTGTCTATTGTCACTGATCTCCTCATTTCACCTACCTCGTGTTCTCCTTTATTAAACTCGTACTCTATATACTCTGTCTTACTCCTACTTATTTTTAAACCCTTTTTTTTAAGTGCTGATCTTTACACCTCTAGCCTTTGATTAATTTTCTCCTATCAACACTATCGTCAGCAAACAACATGCATCACGGCACCTCTCCTTGTATTTCTCTAGTAATTTCATCTATCACTATAGAAAATAAGTAAGAGCTTAAAGCAGAACCCTGATCCACTCCTACTTTTACCCTAAAACCTTCCGTTACTCCTCCCACACTTTTTACCCTAGTACAAATGCCATCATACATATCCTCTATGATGGCACGTAATTAGCATGGTAAATGTTTAAAATGTTATCATTAAAATTTGTTATGTACTGTTCTGTTTTCAAAAAGTTATTTAAATGTAAAGTACAAATTTTAAAAATGACTGTTTGAAATGATTATAATTTGTTGGAGCATATCCTTGTATTAAGAAAATTGAAATTGTTTCATTAATGACACTGATTGTTTCAACAAGTAAAGAAGATGGGCCGTATTTAAGATTTCGAAATGGGGTGATTATATGAATATGGCATCCACAACTTCTTTTTTCAGAATTGTTCTTTAAATAATATTGATGAGCAAAAAACGTAGTTTTTTCAATACAGATCAACTGTTTTCATTAAACTTATGTTAATAATCTTCAAAATAAAGAACAAAAAATTTTATATAATTTATACAATCATTATTACAATAAAAAATTGTTTTTTGTAGGTATTTTCTTTGAGATTTTTGGGGGGAGGATATTACAGCTCCGACCACCCCTGAGAAGGTATCTTCTCTTTATTGTTGCTACAATTAAAAACTGTAATATTTTAACATATTGTTGAGCAAAGTAGGTTTAGTAGGAGCAGAATATTCATGTTAACAAAGAAAAAAAAATTACATAATTCAACATTAAAATTGTCAACAAAATGGTAAAAAAAAAATTTTTGCTCCGTTTCGAACCTCGTTAGCATAACATTATTAAGTTATTAGAATAAACTAAGTTCAAAATATTGAAGCAAAGAATTATCATTTAACAATTTTTATCTATGAATACAAAGTATAAAATAGTTATAATGCTGCTAACCACAGCACATAATAATGTTATGTGATTAGCTAACATCCGGAATATTTTTTATCAGTCTGTTGATCATAGATAATCCACAGACTATATGTCATAATCTGTGGATCTCCTTACTGTAATTATTTACATTTAATTCATAAACTATTTCTTATTAATATTTTTTACATAAATGTTAATCTTCACGTCGAATAATAATTATATTATAGAACTTAATACTTAAAACTCAATTGTTCTTTGTGATATGTTTGAACATAAAATTTATTAAAATTTATATGTGGCTTCAACATTTGATTCAGAAATAATGGAATCCGAATATTTTGAAAACTCAAAAAGGATTAATTTTCAAAACAATCGAGTAATAATAAAATCATTTATTTTTTACAGAAAACTTATTTATTATTTTTATTAAAAATATGAAATTAGATTGTTTGGTAGCTGTGATACTAATTAATACATTTTCATGAAATTCTTTTTAAATATTTGTATACATTTATATATCATTTTTATTTTGTTCTGTGATTATTATTGATTGTAATTATTGTTATTTGATTATAATAGAGAAAATAAATGCAGTAAAATTGTGTATCTGTTGATAATATTTCACAACTAATATATGACAAGGTTATATTTGATATTTTAGTAACATATTGAAACATAAATGTTATTAAATTTTTAAAGATTATATTTATTGGATGTTTTGAGTTGTTTATATTTTTACATAATTAATACTTACAAAAGGTATAATGACACTTGAAAGGATTCTTAAACTTATTTTGAATTATCCAAAGAAACCCTTTTAGTAAACAGTTCATTTTGTTTAGAATGTTGAGAAATAACTATTGAATAATTAAATTTTATTTAAGATTTTGATGAATTTTCTTAAGCATCATTTTAGTTCCCCGCAATGGTCTAAATTTTCATACACATTGAGTGTTACTACAGAACATATTACTAAAACTATAAAAAGTATTGTTTTCAATAAGATTTTGGTTTTTCTTAGTATATGTATGCTTATTTTAATTGCTGTAATACTCAGGTGATGATGAAAATGAAAATTCTTATGAAGTTGATACATTACAACATTCTCATCTTTATTATTCTATTGATAATGAATATTTCAAAAATTCCAAAATATCAAAGAATCAGGTAACTAAAGTAGCTTGTAGTAGTTATGTATTTGGATTAAAAACATCTAAGTTGAATAAAACTTATTAAAACACATTAATGCTTTTTTCTTTTGTTTATATTTTGTCTTCAATTGTTCAACCCAATAAATTTACTTCTTAAAAGTGATATATTGTTTAAATTATTATTAATTACAAGAACAGAATTATTTTCTAACTTGAATAAAATTATGTTTAATTGTATTTTTCTTTTTAAATTTAATTAATTTAAATTATAAATAGTATCTATTATACTAAACAGATTTTGGTTATTCAGTGTTAAAATATTCATGATTTTGGTATCAAAATGAAAATAGTTTAAAGTTATTTAAACAAGTTTTTTTTTCTAGCTTTGTTATGTTGGACAAGATGTAACATGTATACCAGAAGTATTAGGCAAAATGTATGGATCAAAAGTACGATCATTAGATCTAAGTTATAATAAACTAGCTACACTTAATTATGTAGAGCATTTCTCAGATTTAGAAGAATTAATTTTGGATAATAATAACTTAGATGATAAAATAAGACTACCATATTTATCTAGCCTACATACACTATCATTGAACAATAATAAGGTAAAGTAAATATTAAAAATTAAAAGTGTATCTCTTAATATATATATTTTTTTAGATTAATGTGTTAGAAAATTTGATAAATCAAATTAAACATAATATGCCCTCTTTAAGATTTCTTAGTTTACTGGGAAACAAGGCATGTCCAACACAGCTAATTGATTTTGAAAAAGATGAAGATGATTATATACGATACAGGTCAATATATATAATTTCACATTTATAGCTAGAAACCAAAATAATTTCAGTTTTTCGAAAATTGTTACCATATCTATGAAGTTAGTTGACCTATATCAAATTTGTAAGGTTAATAATTGATAGAACTGAAAGTATTATGAAATCGCTTTTAAACCCTTAATGTTTAAAGAACTATTTAAGGAACCAAATTTTAATTAAATAATTAAAATCTTACTTGAACTTAAAATTTGACCTTAAAAAGTTTAAAAATCAAAATTAACCAATATATATTTTTTTCAATTGATTTCAGTTTATAAGTTGTTTTTAAGTCAAATGTTAAGTTCAAATAAGGTTTTAAAGGCAGTCTCATTTTTTTTGGTTTCTTCAATAGTTTCTTCAACATGTACTAAAAGAAATTTATGAACAAATTTATTAGGTATATGATAAATTGCCAAGAATCTAAATACTTTTGGTTCCTAGCCCTGTTCACATCTTTTCTGTTTTGTTTAAACAAAATAAAAAAATTAAATTTTTAGGCATTTTGTCTTGTATTATTTGCCAGAATTGAAATTTCTAGATTCCAGTTCAGTTACAAATGAAGAACTTAATACAGCTTTAGCGAAAGGAGAATTCACTAAAATTATAAGACCAGTAAGCCTAATATACATTTGGAAGAAAATAAAATTAAAAAAGTAATTGTTCTCTTGTTGTTAGCGTTATGAAAATGAACCTTTAAAATATGATAGAAAATCATCTACCATTCATCCCCTAGCAGATACATCAAATATATTTTTACCAGTAGATGAATCAAATGTTCATCAAATACATCATCAAGGTAATTACTGTAATTAATTTTTACGCACAGTTTGTATCTAAAATATTTGACTTGAGATTTTTAAACTGTAATTATAGTGTGTAAGTTTGATTTATATTTGATTCTTCCTTAACTAAGTAATTATAACATAGAAAGATTGTTTAAATCCAACTCACATATTATATTATAATTATAAAACACAGAATTTGAATCAGTTACAAAAAAATGTGTTAATTGGTGGTGCCGGTAAAAACCGAATTTTATTTAAAATCGGTAACCGGCATCAATATAAGGTAACACATAATTATTATGAATACTATAGTTTGATAGTATTGAAAAAAACTTTGATATAATCATCTTAAGTGAAACTTAGTCATCATAATTTTGAATATATGTTAAATGTATATCTATAATTTTGAATTTATGTATATAAATTCAGTAAGTGAAATTAAAAAAAATGATGCTTTTAGAATTTTTGTTAATAATAATTTGAAAATTAATAATATTAGACACAATATTATAACTAACTGTTACTCATTAGTGATAGTTGTTGATTATCAGAACCAATCTTTTGTTGTAATAATATAATTATATATATATTATAATATGGGTTTATAGATCATCTAGTTGTAATGAAGAAAATTTTATTAAAAGTTTAAGTGATTATTTCGAAATTTAGAATAACCCTAATATATCAAGCATTAATAATAAGATTAGAATTACAAATAATATTAAATTATGTAAGTAACATATTTTAATAAAAACTAAGTATAGTTTATATTTCTATTGCACAATCATTAGTAACATATGCAATAGAAATATTAGATGGTACTTATGATAAGCATTTAAATAATATGAAAATAACTAATAATAGGATCATCAAATGTTTTTTGAAAATACCTTCAAAAACAAGTACTGAATTTATATGTAATGAATAAAAAGTTTTGGAATCTCATAATTAGTATTTAAATGCACTTTATTGTTAGCCTTTAAGCATAAAAAACATTTGTTGATGTGCAATCATAATTTTAATACATGACTAAAAAGATGTACCTTCTTGTCAAAAAGAATTTGGTAAAAAAGTTGTTGAAATTATTAATGCTAACTATGCTATTAATAAATAATGTTTAATTAATATTAATCTCTACACCAATTATAATAATTTAAAAAAAATTTAATGTTTAAAGTTGTGTGATAATTAGAAGTATATTTTTATATTGTTTGTATTTTTATCTATTTAATCTAGCATATAAGATATATTTATTATTTTATACTTTTGAATTATATTAAATATAATATAATAGTATTTTTTTTTTGCATGTAGTTCGTTATTTTTATTAAAACTTTTTGATAAATTAAATGATATATTATTTTTATTGTATTATATTTTTTATAATTAATATTAAGAACTCTTTACCTTTAATACATGCTCTGTTTAAAGAAGGTGTGCAGACTAATCTTTAAAAAAATTATATTCATATTTTTTTATAATATTTATATTTCTTTTATATTTAAAAGTTAAAGTTTTATAAATATTTTTAATTAGTAAATAACAAGAAGACTGGAAGTGAAGTTTGGATCTGTTAATTTTTATTTTTAGGTATTTATGAAATATACCACTCCTTATTCCCTGGTATAAAAAACAGAAGACAGAGAAAATATAAAATGTGTCCAGGTCCTACAAAAGCTATGTAGGCTGCATATAGTTTTAATTTAATTATATTTAGTGTATCTTATATTATGTTTTACTATAATGCGTATTTATTTTAGAAACTTTAAAATTAAATTTTTCTGTTAATAATGTAGCTGCCTATGGTCGAAGAAGATTTCGTTATGCTGGGAAACATTCAGAAGGCAATAGATTTATTTTAAATAGAGACTTATAAATATATCTATTTTCATAATTAACATTCTATTTATTTTTATTTTTATGATTAATTTTTATTACTGTTACAAATATTGAATTAAAAAATTATTTTTACTAATTTTAAATTTTAATTTTTGAATTAAAGTTATTTTGTATGTGTGTGTGTGTGTGTGAAGTTGTTTTATTATTTAAAAAATTTGTTGATTTTAGTTTTATGCTATAATAATATACATTATTATTTTAATTTTAAAAAATGTATATCATCTAACTATAATAAATTGATAATGTTAATAATTTTATTATTTCATTATTATATATGCATTAAAGACTTGTAAAATTAATAATGAAGTAGATGAAATATATTAAACATTTGTTATTTGATTATTATTTTTGATTTAGACATTTTATAGAATATTAAAAAGTGCAAATTGACCTTACTTATGATATTTAAGTGATAGTAAATTCCATAGACTATATCTTAAGTATGTCATATAGTCTGTGGCAAATCCATTTAGCTTGTTTTGCTATAATCTTGTTAAGTTAAATCCTTTAGAAATGACATTTTCAAACTCTACTGTCAAGGACGAACTTATTTGAATTTAATTCCTTATAATGAATATAAAAGAAAAATAACAAAACTCAATCAATATTTTAAATAAAATAATTTGTGAAAAATCGTAGAATTAATTTTATTTTATGGAAATTTTGAATATTTAAAAATAATGGCCCGATAGATGGGTGATTCTTGAATATAAAAAATGTTTATTTTCTGAATTTTTATCCATTTTGTATTAAATAAAGCAATTTCAAATTTTTAATTTTAATTAAAATAAAAATAATATAATTACTATTATAACCTAAAACGTTGAATTAACAAAATTATTTTTTCGTAATTTTTCATTTAAATACGTCTTACAATTAATTACAATGTGTTACAACAACCATTCAAGTAATTAAATTTCATCAACTGATACCTATGTCGTATAGCTCTTATAATTCTTATCAGTCGTTATAAGACTAGTCCAGGTAACTTCAGCTTATTTTTAGGTGAATATAGATTATTATTTTTGATGAGTTGATAATTAAAACATTAATATTTCCAACTACCGGAAAAATCTATTGTATTTAAAATGCAATTATATATTATCATGTAGATAGTATATGTAGCACAATCATTTGTGACTACCCAGTCCACTCCAAAGTCTATATATCGATATCCGATCAGCAATTTGATTAAGAATTTGAATCATCGATTATTTTGTTGGCATATAAAATTGGGACACACTTTAATGCCAGCTACATGTTCGCATTTGACAATTTCAAAGCAACATGAATCATTGATGGCACAGTTATTAAACATATTATTTAAAAAAAACGACCCCTACAACTCGTGGGGTTTTCAAGTATGTGGTGGTCGGGATAGCTGGCGTCCATTATCTATCAAACATGTAAGTGATTATTATTATATATTTGTGTTAAATCTTGATAAATATTAATAATGTCAACCTAATCTTAGAAAATTAAAATCAGTAGCACAAACCAATTGCTTTTGTTCAAAGGCGGTAAATTTTATAGCGTTTAAAAAGAAGAAAAATAAAAAATATGCCACGGTATGTATAATAGCATAATTGAACAATTGTGCTATTATTTTAGTGATTTTCAAAATTTTGTATAATATTCATATATATTTCGTAGAAGTCTTGATTTAAAATTAATTTCAAAAGGTATATTATATTTTTATTAAACAATGGTGCCCATATTACGAAAAATAACTAATTTTTAGCTGTGTATTTCTTATTGCATTTTCTAAAAAAAAACAAATAGTAGCGCTCAACCCCTGCAAATACAAATATTCTAGAAAATCCTTATTTATAATAACTAACAGTGTTGCAATTAGTCATCCTGTTTTTTATAATGTACGTTTATGCGTTTATTAGAGCTGTTTTCCCCTATCTAATAATTTTTTATCTACTAATATATATATAGTTTTTCTGGAATTTTAGAAAATCTTTAGACATAGTACGTTTAGTGCCTAATCTATAAGACGGTTTAGATCCTATAAAATAAAATTTTATTTTTATGTTTACGTCTTTGAATCTAAAATGTAAATATTATGATTAAATATTTAATTAAATTTGAAGTCCATTATATTTAAAACCAATTTAAATTGTATAATTTAATTTAGGCTTATAGACCCGTAAGCCCTAGAAGCTGATTAAGAAATTTTTTTTTACATTCTATTTGTCGTAGATATTAGACATAATTATTGTTCTTCAGCCTTTCGTACTCAGTACCTGTGCTGTCTTATGATTATTACGCGCCCTAATCTTAGCTTTACTACGCTCTATAATTTAAATTCAAATGTGAAATCTTATACTTTTATGAATAATATATTTTTAAAATTGTTAAATACATTTTTGTTTTACACATTTTGGTAAAGAAAATATATATTGTATTTAGTATACAAAATGACCAATAGATGGTGTTATTTTTCAAATTGTATACAACGTAAAGCAACAAGGCACTACATGATGTAACGAATTATATGGTACAGTTTTATGTCTATAATTATTTTAACATTATAATAAAATTTACTTAAAAAAAAAAAGCCACAAAATTTATACTTGAACTAACTTAAAAACATAATACATGAATCGTACGGTACTATACTTCTACCCATTTGAGGCAGACGATAGATCAATAAGTGAGAGTTGTGTGCTGAATTTCTATTAAGATCATACTTCACAGGATCATTTCTGTAGTATGCATCGTCCCCTCCAGGTGCAAATCTGGAGTCGTCGTAAGCCACGATGATGAGATCTGTTCATTTACCAGAGCGTGAGATGACGTGATATGATAAATTCATATTTATTATGACTCGTAACGATGATCGCTGACGGTTTATCCGGATTGGTAGATGAACGATCTGAGTGGTCCAATAACCTATAAGTACTTTGATTACATGAACTGTATCAAAATAAAGTTGTTTAAATGCAAACACTTTTTATAAATGGTAACAATATTAGATTTTATTTTAATCTGAAATTAGATACCGGTTCGATATTGCAACNCTTTGATTACATGAACTGTATCAAAATAAAGTTGTTTAAATGCAAACACTTTTTATAAATGGTAACAATATTAGATTTTATTTCAATCTGAAATTAGATACCGGTTCGATATTGCGACACTACTTATNTATATTTTTATTAAACAATGGTGCCCATATTACGAAAAATAACTAATTTTTAGCTGTGTATTTCTTATTGCATTTTCTAAAAAAAAACAAATAGTAGCGCTCAACCCCTGCAAATACAAATATTCTAGAAAATCCTTATTTATAATAACTAACAGTGTTGCAATTAGTCATCCTGTTTTTTATAATGTACGTTTATGCGTTTATTAGAGCTGTTTTCCCCTATCTAATAATTTTTTATCTACTAATATATATATAGTTTTTCTGGAATTTTAGAAAATCTTTAGACATAGTACGTTTAGTGCCTAATCTATAAGACGGTTTAGATCCTATAAAATAAAATTTTATTTTTATGTTTACGTCTTTGAATCTAAAATGTAAATATTATGATTAAATATTTAATTAAATTTGAAGTCCATTATATTTAAAACCAATTTAAATTGTATAATTTAATTTAGGCTTATAGACCCGTAAGCCCTAGAAGCTGATTAAGAAATTTTTTTTTACATTCTATTTGTCGTAGATATTAGACATAATTATTGTTCTTCAGCCTTTCGTACTCAGTACCTGTGCTGTCTTATGATTATTACGCGCCCTAATCTTAGCTTTACTACGCTCTATAATTTAAATTCAAATGTGAAATCTTATACTTTTATGAATAATATATTTTTAAAATTGTTAAATACATTTTTGTTTTACACATTTTGGTAAAGAAAATATATATTGTATTTAGTATACAAAATGACCAATAGATGGTGTTATTTTTCAAATTGTATACAACGTAAAGCAACAAGGCACTACATGATGTAACGAATTATATGGTACAGTTTTATGTCTATAATTATTTTAACATTATAATAAAATTTACTTAAAAAAAAAAAGCCACAAAATTTATACTTGAACTAACTTAAAAACATAATACATGAATCGTACGGTACTATACTTCTACCCATTTGAGGCAGACGATAGATCAATAAGTGAGAGTTGTGTGCTGAATTTCTATTAAGATCATACTTCACAGGATCATTTCTGTAGTATGCATCGTCCCCTCCAGGTGCAAATCTGGAGTCGTCGTAAGCCACGATGATGAGATCTGTTCATTTACCAGAGCGTGAGATGACGTGATATGATAAATTCATATTTATTATGTCTCGTAACGATGATCGCTGACGGTTTATCCGGATTGGTAGATGAACGATCTGAGTGGTCCAATAACCTATAAGTACTTTGATTACATGAACTGTATCAAAATAAAGTTGTTTAAATGCAAACACTTTTTATAAATGGTAACAATATTAGATTTTATTTTAATCTGAAATTAGATACCGGTTCGATATTGCAACACTTATATAACGTCCATTGACATGTGTATCCTGAATGTCTATTGCATAGAGAATAATATTGATTTACAGATAATTGTGTGGCGGTTATTGTATATTCTGAATGGTAATAAAAAAAGAGTTAAATGATGAAAGAATGAAGCCGATGTTATAAAGTTAAAGTTATTTAATATAAGAATCCTGTAAAAATTTAAGTCGTCACATATTCCATCATATACCAAGAAATTACTTTTTATCATTTTTAATGAAGGCGCTTTTTATTACTACAAAAATTACCAACGTGTTCTTTCTACTTCATGCCAGAATTTGAGATCCCTCCTGATTATCCCCCGCATCCTAACGGGTCAATACGTGCATATCTCCTATACTGTAACATTCTCCTTTTTATTTTTTGCTATAATTTGTATACTTGTGTAGGTGCAAAATGAAACTTTAGCTGCTAATTATCTAAACGTAGGAGATCGAGTATTAGAAATAGATGGAATAGATTGCTATTCTTTAACCGAGTCACAAGCTATTGCATTCCTTCGAAGACCTAGTACTTGTATAGAAATTTTAATATTGAAGCGCCGAGGAGAAAATGTCGTACCTCCTAAAAGATCGTCAAGCTGTAAAGCTTTACAAAACTTCAGTTTTCAAAATATTAAAAATCAAAAAAGTCTTTCAGAGCCTTGTTCGCCACCTGAAAATTATTATGAAAACTCGCCGGATCCATATGCAAATAATCACATAAATACTAGACGTTTTTCAAACAATAGTGATGAAACACTGATATCATTAAATAAAGAAGACATTCAAGTACAACAAAAATCTCAACCGCTGACTCAAGTTCAAAAGACATCCACAATTTTTTCTAATTTTAGACCGCGTAGAAATTCATTTCATAAAGATTTTGAGCAAATACGTCTTAGAAGTAGATCGAATTCGCCACAGTTTTGGAAAGTTCATACAGATGCTTCTCCTATTATCGGATCATCTAGTAATTGTAGAAACTTTTGGAAAAAACTTGAAAAGAGCTCTATAGAAGATTTAAGTATTCGTCAAACCCCAAGTCCAGTTAGACCAGCGAGCGTTGCATTTTATCCTAAAACGACAGAACCTATGATTTCACCAGTTAAATGTGACGTTTCTCCTAAGAAAAGAGTAACATTTTTAAATCTTAGTGAATAGATAAAAAAATAAGTGTATACGTTTTACAGGTGACGTTTAGTAATGTATTATTAGAAAGAAATTTCTTACAAATGGATTTACCAGATTTATCACCAGGTTCAAAAGTAGATGAAGAATTTAACAAGATATACAACAGCGCGAAACAGGAAGATCAGTAAGTTATATTAAAATATCTATGAAGTCCTAATATAAAATTTGATGGTTGTTTTTTAATATATTAAGCACCGTGTTCAATAAATACATTCCGAAATATGCCTATTTTTTTATTACACAATTAAAGTTAATTTAAATTGCTTTCAATTATTTATACATTATTGAAGGGGTTTCTTATAAAAACCTGACTACTCCAATTTTTTTGAATATTTATTTTTTGACAGAATTATACGGCAGCACTATTTTTCGTTAAGGCATAACAAACAGGTATAGCGCTATGAATACTTTAGTTTAATAACTCAAAATTTGTCATTTTTGAGCGAGTATTGCATTTCAAAATGCAAGTGTGTTTAAAATTAAAACAATTTAATTTGTTTCAATTCAATATAAATAGTTTTAAAATCAAAAAAATGACAATATTCGCTTCTAAAGTATATAATAAAGTAAGGCGATTGAAATAGAGTTCTCTATTGGCGTTATTTTTAATTATTATTTGTTAATTAGGTTGGTTAAGTTTTATTTTAGCGAAATTTGTCGACCGTAATAATTCTTATTGTTTCATTTACTATTAACATTTCTATTAAAATTATACCATTGGTATATTTCATATTAATGTGTGATAAACAACTCTCGTCTCTGATGTACGAAAATAGTGTTGCAAAAAACTAGCACCGGGGCCAAAATGGTCACGTTAAAAATAACGTTTTTAAACACACATTCGTTTGGCGGTAGTGGTAATTATAGTGGTGGGGTTCCTTTTGGCTATCGCAGCAATGTCCAGCGTCAAGATTAGTCATTTTCATTAAAACTAGGAAAAAATGTTTTAACACAATAAGTGTTTTGTGAAGACAGAAAGTGCTCAGTTTTAATTTAGTCTAATTCGTACCGATATCCACGAGTTCAGACATCTCTTGTTCTTGGTGATGTTAACATCATACCTTAACTTATATATATTTATTTTTTAATAAACATTTTGAGTTCAACGAGTTAAACAATTAACTAGTCTGTTGCTGATCCAATACCTATAACAATCTTAAACCAGGTAATATTTATTATACCCAATTGTACGTTTTTATCGTAAGATAAAAAAATTAAAAGTTAAATAACTTTTGATTTTATTGGTAGTACACTTAAAATAACAAAACAAAACTAACATGTAAGTAAAGTACACAATTTACTATCGTCAATGAAATTTTATATAGATGTATGACACAATATATAATATATTAATTAAGGGGTTACAATGCAAAATGCATTATTTCCAAAGATACAATTTATTAGGAAAGGCGATTTTCTAAATTGAAAAGGTACGTTTTACGTAAAATCGTTATTTTAAAATCAATTTTTTCGATAGGAAAAGGTGCATTTAGATAAAAAATATTCATACCATTTGTTAGAGCGTCCAGATTGCTAAAAAGCATTAACAAGAATTAACGCTTAACTCAAATTTGATAAATATTGAAAAAGTACGTTTTGCATCTAACCCTCAGTTATTTTATTTGCTTTCAATGGTGCAGACAGTGGAGAATAGTAGCCATACTCTCGAATTGACCATAATTATATTTCCAAAGTAGTGAGCAAAAAAATGTCCACAAAGATTTTCTATCTCGATCTGACTGTGTCCCCTCTCACCATAAACAGTTTCTGGCTCGCCACTGGGCGTTATCAAAAAGAAAATACTTCTCTGGTAGGAGCATAATATTTGTTTACAACGTACTAAATTCTTCCTTTCCCTTGAAATAAAACTTTATTAATATTTTGTTTTGTCAAGGCTTATATATTCCAAAACCTTGAACTGGTTTGTGTATTATCGTTTTTCATAAAATATCTAAAAACGTCTACTAACCTCTGGAGTAGGTAAAACGGGCTTCGGTATCGTTGTAAATCGCAGAACTTGGATGTTTATCAATTTAAAATACAGATTTGTGCTGTACTTATCTTTCTATTTAAACAATAAAATTTAAGCGAAGCCAAGTTAATAAAGCGATTGTGTTATTTTTATCGATGTTATATTAGGTTGTTTTGTGAAATTAATGATAAAATTATGTAATCCTGTACAAATTTTAGTTTTAATTTATTGGAAATTTTACCTTAACCAAAACGAGTATTTTTGTAGACTTTAGATTTTCTTATTATTATTATTATTATTTAATTACATCAAATACAACCATGTGACATAGATTTCAGAAGTGTAAAATTATTTATTTGATATAAGTTTACTTAAATAATTTTTTATGAAAGAAATTGATGTATAAATACTTCCTAGGAAATTAGATCTTAATTAGGATCGACTCTTAATTTAATATAACCTTTAAAGAAATGCAGCTTTCATATATGATTTAAAAAATTAATGAGTACTTGATTTTAATGAATCAATCAAAAAATTACGTGAAGTATTATAGATATTTTCTACATATTAATTATTTTATGCATTATTCATTGACAAGAAACGGCTTTAAACTAAAAACTGACAAACCATACAAATTCAAAAAAGTGTGCAATTTTATTATGATGATAAAACGTGTCTGGCAAATCTGTTTGAAAGACAAAAAGGGAAATCGAAATAATTGTGATGACTCATAAAAACCGCTTGTACTCGGATGCATTCAAAGTGATCGGTTCTCCCACATTCCTATGCATAAGCTCCCTAATAAATAACTCTCACACAGCCGACAATGAACCACAGTATATTTTATCCTCCTTTGTGGCACTGTGTAAAGAACTGGTTCGTGTACTATTTTTTAACGGATAATCGTTCACGTACCTTTGATGATATCGTTGAAACATAATCATTTTTAAATTCTTTGCTACAGTTTTCAAAATTAATAATGTGTATCTATGTCACTCTCTACTTCTTTGCCACAAAGAGATTAAAGAAAGATTCGATGAACTTATCGAAACTTATTCTATTGTAAATTTCAAAATCAAAGTAGGCATACTATTTATTAGTATAATTGATCTAATTGTTACGAGAAAAATAGAATACTAGATACATTTTCAAAAAATAACTAAGATATTTTATTGATGCCAATATCCATTTTTACCAAATGTACTTATTGAATTTTTCTATATTTCATTATTTCGTATATGGAGTAAAACATCGCGAAGATATTTACTATCTATTGGAGTTTAAAAATGTAGGATTACAATTAAACTACTCTGCAAATNCCAATATCCATTTTTACCAAATGTACTTATTGAATTTTTCTATATTTCATTATTTCGTATATGGAGTAAAACATCGCGAAGATGTTTACTATCTATTGGAGTTTAAAAATGTAAGATTACAATTAAACTACTCTGCAAATATGTTATGATGTAAATAAATAATATCGGTAACACAATTATGCTATCGGCTATGATTATTAGCATTTGTTGAAAAAGATAATTAAACAAAACAATGCAGGTATTAGATTAATTAACTAATATTTATTGTTTAAAAAAAATTCTTGTTTCAAAATACTTGAACAATCACTTAAGACCTTTATTGTGGTATAACAAACGTCAATTAATACGTGTGATGATAATAATAAAATTGCTTAAGACCCCGCAGCGTATCTGCGTTGATAAATTTAAAAACAAAATATAAGCACTAAATTTTCTAAGTGTCTATCGCACGATTTATTGCTTAAAGTAATTTTCAACTATGCCGGCAATTACGTCATTTTTGTTTATAACAAATACGAAATCGCAAACACAAACACAAACTCCAAAAAGTCTTCCTTTCTCTAGTCATTATACTATTATATGATGTTGAGAAACATAATGTCAGAAAATTGTCTATGAACAAATTGAACTTTAATGTTTACATACTCTTAGACGTATTCCTGTTAAAATATAAAATCTATTAAAATAATTGCCAATTGGATTATATAATTTTTATGCAAATTGCTAACTGTCGTAATTATACAATGACTCATTAAATATCATTACTCATTGTGTTGCAGGTAGGTAATGTTTTTTAAGTTATATTAAGCTCAATGACAAGCTAATTTTTAGATGAATATACGAATTCAATATATATATTATTTTATCCTTACAAACGATTAAATCAAATAATATAACATAATAAAAAATTCCTCTCTCTCTCTCTCTCGAATAAAAATATTTGTAATAAAAAAATAAATACACGCTTTTCACAAGTAGCATTTGAGTTATTGAAATGTTTTCAGGAATTATTATTAAAACTCAATTTATAATTTATTAAGATTTACTTATTAAAATAATATTAATTCATTTGACTTTTTTAAATAAATTAATAAATATATAATATCTAAGATATACTGTATTTACTATCTTTAAAAATATCAATTGAAATAAAATTTGTAATAACTATTTTTTTTTTTGTGAATAGAGGTCTTAATGAATAATTAATTTATGAAACCATTGGCTAACAATAATTGTTATCCCGTTTAAAACTGCAATTTTTTCCCATAGAAAATTACACAGATTTAAGCTTAACTTGCACTTGAAGATAAAAATTCTGAATATTAACTCTTGTTTTGTACCATCTGCACTTTCCATTGGTCTAACTATTACTGAGAGTAAAGTATTTATCACTGTTACTTTCCTATAGTGGCCAACCAGTTATCGCTCGTGGGTACAACAAACCCATACGGTACACTTCGTATCGCACCGCCGACGAGCGCACACGTCCGGTCAGCTCATCCGTATAGGCAAATGAATTGATACAATTGGTACATTTCTATCGTCCGCTTTCAGTAGTGTTAATTGTTGTTTAATTTCTATAGTTTTTTTCATTATTTTTGCCATCTAAAATGGCGGCGACCGCTGCTGAAACAGTAAAAGTTGACAGAACCGATCCCAGAGTGCGAAAACTCGTGTACAATATGTACAGAAACGTTTTGGGAAATTATAATGATAAGGCTAATGCTATGCTTGGTGCATTACCAGAACATCAAGTTATTCAGGATCAAGGTATAGACCGACAGCTTGCGAGTATACTGTAAGTTAATAGACTTGATGGCGTCGACCGCTATTTTGATGATTCATAATTTTTCGTTGAACTGAATAATGCTTTTAAAAACATTAAAAAAAGTATTTCATTCAAACGAAATTATCAATTTTTCGTTTATTTATTAAAATATACGAACTAGAGATACGTTATATCTTATCTACAATTCATTTTTTACGATTTATCTTGTACTCTTATTTAAATGTAGTTTATTTTAATCGTTACAAATTGCACAGATACTCATTTCGTTTAAGTTAAAAATGTATTACGGTTCACATATTTGTAAATATTTATTAGGTTGGTTTTGTTTACACAGCCGGGTCTCTTATTCATTCTATTACCCGTCCAAAGTTTTTTATGGTTAGCTTGTTTTTAGAAACTAAAGAAAAATCATATTTTTACAATGGTATAGTTAAAGTATGATTTCTAAAGGTTTTATTTAAATAATAGTTGAAAAAACAAGTTATGGATGATTGATACATATGTCATATCATTTAAAATAATGTTGAGTCGTGTAATTAGTGTAAATAATTTGCGGACAGTATGCTTTCTATTCTGATTTAAACAGCGTGTCAGTATAAGCTTTAACAACTAAAATAAAGTTTACATTATTTTATCGAAATATCAATTTAATCTTTTGGGTCAGTTTTGTATCGAATACATTCATGTGCAAAATATATTTTGTTAATTTATTATATATATATGACGTTATTTGTTGCAAAAAGTACTAAAAATCGGCCTTGTATAATGAGTCATAGATATATTTGTCTATAGATAAATAAATATATACATTTATTTAATTTTTTCATAAACGTTTTACAGTATTAACAAAACAGTATGATTTGTTAACTTGTATTTCTATCATACTATTATTTTATCTAAATACTAATGGTACTGAATATTAGTTTAGTAGAATAATACTAGTAAAGTACTGGTAGTTAATTTATTTTTTTAGTAAGGTTTTGTTAATTTCTACGCAAACAAGCTTATTAGCATAGAATTGTTCATAAATTATGATTTTTTTAAGTTTAGTTTCATAACATAATAGAACTTTAATAGACACAGCAGAAAAATCCAACAATTTTTGTATCGTCAATGTTTTATAATTGAAAAATTGTATTTAAACAAACATTTCGTTAGAAAACAAATTTATATTATATACTTCATTAGAATTTCTATTTCATATTCCAGTAAATTTTTAAGATTAGGCAAAATGTCCTGTGTGGGTTCTTTACAAAAATATTTTGTGTATATATATATATTGTTTTTTGAATAGGAATATTCTATTTATGACACAAACCTTTCTAAATTTGATACTTGACACTTATGACCTGCAATTTTAATAGTTTTTATCATTATAACGTTTATTGTTAAGTTGAATTTCCGCATGAAGCAAAGAATTCATTTTCCGCGGCAATCGTTTAATCAAATTACTGCCGACCTTAACAATACTATTCAGTCACAAGATAGATAAACATGCATAAAAAAGAATTCAACGTGTGCATAAACAAGGTTGGAATATTGTGTATTTTGTCATTAGAATAGTGTTAAAAAAAATAAAACATCGGCGCCCGACCAAGGGCATTAACAAGGCTGATCCTGCAGAAAATCAAAAGATATAAGTAACCGACAGCTGCTCTCGAGAGGCTCATTTCGGCCCTAATATGGTAACTTGTCCCCCACAAAGACAATTTCAGACATAAATATGTACACTTATGTGTATTAAACTGTTGTTTTTATTAAGCATTAAAACCATTTTTGTTGACGCTACTTATTAAAAACAAAGCTATTATCAATTACTTTAATTATTATTATTATTTATTTTAATGTAATGTTAGGGTTCCCTATAAAGATATCCATTTTCTATTTAAAATTTACTGTACATAATTACTATAAATTATGTGACTAATTAACCGGACGTATAAAATTTTACACTTAATTTATAACTTAAACTTAATAAAAATTTATTAAACTAATAATTGTTTTTCTTTTTTAATTTAATAGTCATCAAGTAGGAGCGACTAAATCATTAGGAGATATGTCCGCTCCTCCTCCGCCTCCACCAATGCCACAATTTTCTGGTAAGTAAAAAATTATATCAAATATATGTGACTGAAAAATATACAATTAATTAGTGTAAATTAAATCAAATTTTATCAACAAAAAAATCGTTAGTACGTCTTCTAATAAATGGATATTTTCTATAGGAGGCACAATTCAAGGTGGCGGACCACCTCCACCACCTCCAATGCTCCATAATGGTCATATACCGGCAATCCGGATAAAAACCGAGGTATTTATTTTATAATTAAAAAAAATATCTTTTATTCATAATTTTAATAATTTCTTCATTATTGTTTCTAACACTAATAATAATATTAAAAATATTAGAATATAATTTCCGTATAAACATATTTTTTTATTGCAACATTTCTCTCAATAATTAGCAAAAAAATATAATTATAAGTTCTATTGGCAAAAACGTTCAATATTTAAGTAAAAATGAATTTAAATTAATAGTTTATGACTGAATTGATAATAATAGTTATAAACTGAATTAAATAGTACTTAATAATTTTTTATTAGAAAACCATAAAATATTAACAACACTGTTAATTTTTCATTTTTTATTATACTTAAAAGTATAAATCCATTTAGGTTTTTTCCCTTAAAATTTTCTAGAAAAGACCTTTATTGTTCTCCAAGTATTATAAAGTAGTATATACTTAAATTAACCGCAACTAATACCAAAATATTGTTATCTACTTTCATTATCAAAATAGTTGCAACTTATTGTAATACTAAGATTATTTTAAATTGAAAATTCTTTACCTTAGATTGTAAGGTGTAAAGTAAATTAATATACTGAAATTGTTTATTTTCATGTTTATAAAAACTACTCTGAGATTTTTTATACTTTATTGTGTTTTGATTTAGTTGTTTATTATTTCAACAATTGTGTATAATGTACAATAAAATCTATTATAACTCTCTATTGTGTTTTATTGTTTTAATACTTAAATGGGATTTCATTTATGTAGTAGCACGTTTATGAAAAATTTATTCTAGAAAAACAATCTCATTTTTACATAAATATTTTTATATGTGTAAAAAATTAGTATTTTGATGCATCTAGTTTGAAGATTTAAGTAAGCTGTATTTATGCAGAAAATTTATTAATTTTAATTATTAAGTTTTCTTAGTTTTTACATAGTCATAATTATAAGTATGTTAATGTTAAGATAACCGTATGGGCTATTATTATGCATTAATATTATACACTCGCTACTATTTTGAATACACGACTACTACTTCGAATGTAACGTCTATTTTTTACTTAAGCTATAAATAGCCTATTCATAACTCGAACTAAACATAAGATAGACTTTATAGTTTACGTGCTTTAACTAGTATGATTGATTTAATGTAGTAAAAATATTATTTACAGCTAAATGAACAGCCCAGAGAATTGCCATCAGCTATTCAGAATGCAATGGCGACAAAAGATAAAAAACCGTTTACATATTTACCGGGAGGCTTAGATCTTAGTGAAATTAAGAGCCCAAGAATGCAAAGACGTTTAGAAAGAAACGCTCAAACTCCTCCTAGTCCAGATCAAACACCACAAAAATCACCTGAATATCACCAACAACAACAGCAGCAAAATCCCACCCAATTTCAACAGCAAATTAATCCTCAACAATATCATTTACCACAACCACCCCCACTGCCTCCACTACACCAACAACCACTACTGAAACCAACTTTTGAACAGAAACCAATTTGCAATGTGCTTCCACCTACGGAGAAAATTTGTCTTTTACCTCAAGTCCAACAGCCATTGTTAAATAAAGCACCTACGCCATGGTTACAAAAAAATGTTCAACCACAACAGGTTCAAAACTTTGCACCTTGGGCTCAAAATAGAAAAGATGATGTTGATCAGGTAAAATGCTTTACAGTTAATTTGTTTTATAGTCGAATAGCTTTTATAAAGTGACCTCATTTACTTATGTAGTTTTTAATTTAATATCCATAAATGATTTACAGGTTGACAGGCCGTTACAAGAAAGGGTAATACCTCTAAGAGTGGAGCCTGTTAGACAGCCACCTTTACGACCACAGTTACAACACCCAGTGAAAAACACGAGTAATTCCTACGACTCGGAACCTATACAAGGAAGATCATTTAAAGTGCTACAACAAATCACACAAGAGCCTAAAGGTGATTTTTGAATAAATCGTTGTGATTACAGTATAATTTTAACTTTTTTTTATGTCTATGATGATTTCATTTCGTCGATAGCCCGTAAAACTCTATTTATAAATAAGATAATTTATTCATTACTTACTTGTAAACTTGTTCAGGTATTTATGATGGCACTCAGCCTTACAACAGTCAAGCTCTTCCTCTTTCAGAGCTCAGAAAGTTAAATTTAAGCGAAGATGATCGAACGTTCATGAATAGAGTAAAATCCCAAGGTGTGTATTTCTAATAATGTATATTGATTCGAACCAATTAATATTAATCATTCATTTAATATCAAAATAAAATCAATTGACTATCATAATTGTAGCTAATGTAGATAAAGAAAATCCAAGGTACAAGGGAGGTTCCATACCATCTAGAATATTTAAAACATTGGAAAATAGCGGTAATTAAAATAAATCTTAAATTTGGTAAAGGGCGCCAACATAATAATTCATAGTTCTTATGCCTAATTAAGCGCTTAATATATTATTAACTACTTTATAAAGTATTCCAAAATAAATCGGAACACAGAATTTTTCCATGTAATTAATATATTGATATATTTCATTCCATAAAAAACTATTTGACGTATTATTATACTTATTTATACTAATTAAAAAATATATATTATTTTGTCATATATCAGTTGATGATGAACAATTTTTACATAATGAAACGGATCCTCGTTACAGAGGTGCATCTATACCGTCTAGAAGTTTCAGAATATTGCAAACAATGACCAACTCAGGACCGGGTAAAACACTCGCTTCCCTTAACATGTGATCGTCTCGATTTACATGTTTAATCATTTTGTATTAACGAGTTAGCATTTGGTTTTTATTAAAATACTTAATCGTGTTCATATGCTACGCCTAATAGTATTACTACGCGCGCTGTAAGCTTTTTTATAGTGCTTGTTTTTGCTATATTAATTTAGAAATTAAGTTGTATATATTTGTTAACTTATTGACCTTTATTTTTAATTTATAGTTCCAAACAGTGTGCAACACTCAGTGCCAGTAACTCATTATATATCAGGTAAAATATTTATTTTAATTATAATGTGTTTAAAACTTGAATTAAATGAAAAATAATTTTAACTGTTTAAATTTTCTATAGAGCCTGTCGAATCAAAGATCTATGTACCGCCATCAGAAAGGCCAGTAGGCCATGAACCACATAAATATACTGGAGGATCAATTCCATCCAGGTCTTTCAGAATGTTGCAAGCTATGACAGGACAGAATAACGGTAATTGATTTTCCCTTGATAAATTTATTTTGATTTAACTAATACACTAATTGAACTGGCGATCAAATATGTGATACATTCTTTCGGTAATTATTCGATTTAAAGAATAATGAAATGACAGTAGACAAACGATATTTTATTTAATGGTGTAGACATAAAAAAAAGAAGAACAATTGAAGTTCATGTCATTTTATTCATACTTTGACGAATGAAAAAGACTTCTTTGTCTATACAGCAAATATAGCGCAATAACAGTATTTATTTACAGACGAATTATTTACGACATAAATTAATCTTTTATATAAAACGAACAATATACATCTATTATATATATATATATATAAATATATGCTGTACATTATAGTTAACTCTGGATGATATGCAAATCTATAAACAATGAACATATGTATTATAATGATGATGGAGTATATTTTAACACAGAAGTTATATACAATTTAAAAATTGTTTACATTATTTATAAATATCATTGCAAACCACATAAATATCACTTATCAAAGTCTATTGACAATAAATGTGAAATTATTATTAATTATATTGTAATTTGAAAGTTATGCTACCTATATGAATGATAAAAGAGCTTCAGTTTTATTTTGTTAAGTCAACGCGTTCAGATATTTTATGTATTCTTGATCGTATTGCAATCATTATTATTACAGCAATAGAAAAATTAATGAGAATAAATAAGCTTGAAATTTCAACTAGTAATTTACGACCAGCAAAATCTAATTACCAGAGTGGATTTTCAGTTAGCTTTAATAGTTGTAGTTGACACTAATGATCAATTATTTATTGAAAACTAAGCTCTATCATTGACTTATTAAAACATTTAAATTTATTTTTATAGCCAGTTACTTAAATTCTATTTGTTTTTCCTGTTTACATTAACAAGCTTGCTTTGTATATACATATAAGCAATTAAGCTAATGTACTGAAATTATCCGGCATTTATAACTATTTATAAGCTATTTTTGGAAATCCTTGAACTTGTAACTAATGTCTATATTACTTAAATGGAACACAAATTTCGTTAAATTTGAAATGTTTTTATAATTGTTTTTTTCTATTATATGATTACTATTAATAAACGACAATTAATAAATATTATTTTCGAGTTTTCCTTAACATTAATAATTTATAATCATTTACAGTACTTATTTTTATTTTTCTTTAACAAAAATTTTCAACTTACAAAATTTATTTAATTTAAAATTGTAGAATATTTAAATGTTCTCTGTAAAAAAAACAATTCATGCTTAATCCAAATTTATAGTTAATAAGCTACGTAAGTAATTTTAACGTGAAAATAATGCGCATTTGCAGATTTAATTTCTATAAATATCTGTATAATTAGTATGTGTTGAGAATTGAGCTAAAAACAGACACTATTAAAACAACTATTTTACTGTCAGTGGGTGGATTTTCAGGATTTTATGGGGAATGAGATCTAATAAATGATTTTTACTTAAAATTTTTTAATAAATATTTGGGATACACTTCAAATATTATGTATAATATAAATATAACGGTTTTGGAGGTCTAGGGCCCTATAAACTTTTGTAAATACGTTATTGCTTTTTAAAAAAATGGATAAAAAAATTACGAATACACATTTTAACCAAATTATCAATTCATTTTTGACGTTCTCATTCTGTAATCATTTTATCATTGTTCATTTAAAAAAAAAACTGATATTCTTTTAAGAAAATACCATTTTAAAAATGTGCTCTTTATCAACAGTCTATTGACGTAGTTATGATACTATTCACATTCGTAGATTTACTTGTTACAAACACTAATTGTTTCAATAGATTATTTAATCGCTAGATCATATTGTTTAGACTCCTACTTCATTTTTAATCTAATAATTGTGTTTTAACCACACTATTGTGTTATTCCAAACTGTTATTATCTTTTAATAAAATTACTACTACAGTATGACTGGAATTATTCTTGAACTTACAATAAAATATTTTTAATGGATTTTTTGTTACTTTATACAACGTTTAATGATAACCCATTATTATAAAGCAAATTTATTACAATTTTATACAGAGAATTACACATTTTTAAAAATATTGGTCTCTCTAAGTCTACTCGCTATGTCCAATTTAGATTAAATGTAATATCAAGTCAATTAATTTGGTTTTATGTCGTTCTTAAACTTTTTTAGAACAATGAAAGACAAATTAATAACTATTTTAAATTTCGAGACTTTCTTTATCAAGTTTTAAGATAGAAGAGTACGAATCCCTTTAACTTAAAAACTATGCAAACGATTAATATTATTTTTAAAATATCAATATTTTAATAAACAATTACTTTTGCTTAATTAAATTACATGAATATAATATCTCTTTCAACATTTTCACTATAAAAACGACTAGTAATAGTTATTACAATGATCAGTATATATCATATACTCTATACATCAACAGTGCCATTTTAATTTTCTTAAGTTCAACTCTAGCTTTTAGTAAGAAAAAATATAATTTTTAAGTATGATTTTAATTAAAACTTTTCAGCAATAATAACACAGCGTTTTATTCAAATGATGGCCTTAATTTATCTAAATTTCAATTTTTAATAGTGTTAATATACAAAAAAATTTTTAGTCAATAGTCATAATTATTTTTTATATTGTAAATACTGTTCGGATATCATTATTTTAGTATCGCACGCTCATAATACTATTTATAGTTTGACCCTGGTGAGAAGACCTCCACAGAGCATCTACTAATAATACATGCACACAAACATTATAAGCAGGCGGTCACTAACCTAACTTAGTTGTGCAAATAATAGTTAATGTTGGCTAATAAATTAAGAACTTTATTACTTTAAATATTCTGTATCACATCCGATTTAATTTTTCTTGCCGTGTTCAAACTGTAAGTTATTCCTTTTATTATCAAGACAGAATGACTTCAAATTTAATTAAAAACTAAAATGTTCCTCTTCGTAAACCTATAAGTATGGTTGTAGTCTTTTTTGTTTGTAGAAAAAGAGGATGAAAATTCGCGAATCCTATCGCTGGCCCCTTATCCCTACCCATCTAATGAATATTGGCAACATTACAAAAATTTTAAAAAATTTCATGAGCAGAATATAATTGAAAATCTTCAAGACCTGCCTTCTCTTTCACTTGACACTCATATTCCTCATGCGTTAAACACCATAAATGAGGAAGAATCTGTAGTCAAATCAACTGATAAATTCAAAGATAAAGAACAAAGCACAGAAACGGAAAATAAGAACCGATGTGTCATTAAAGTCAAAGAAGAAAATAAAAGAGAAAATGAAGATGTGGTTGATGCAGATTGCGAAGTGACCGTCACGATTACTTTGCCGAAAAAAACTGCCCTAAAAAAGACAGAAGATAAATTAAACTCTAATTGTAATTCTTCAAAATCACCTGTTGATTTTTGGCAACAAATCAACGACGAAAGTTATACACAAGATAAGGAAACAATAAGTGAGTGTACATCGGAAAAAGAACAACTAAAACAAAATGCGGATTATCATGTTGATGTCTCGGATAGCGAATCAGAAGAATCGCCAAATTATCTATTGCTGGACGTGAAAGACCATCTCGTACCAAAGCTAGGTAGTGATGATGGTGATTCTGGTATTACCTCGGATATCAGTCGACAAACATCTGAAAAGGAAATGAATGGACCGAAAAAGTACCAGAGGTCGTGCACACATTCAAGACTAATGAGTTTTCTTCAGGATGACGATGTTGACGAGGAACAAAACACACCAACTACTTATAGTACTCGAGTTCACACGTCCGGTTATTCGTCAATGGCAACCACACCTAACACGCCATCTGTCCATAATGGCTACCGAACTATGAAAACTGAATATGAAGACTACTACAAGAGCTGGGAATTTGAATGTCCATATGAAGGATATGATATTATTCCGTCCAAAGCGTTCAAGGCGATTCAAGGGGTCAGCGTCAAGACTTCGGCCAAGTTCAAATGTCCAAAAATTCCTATAGATCGTCAAGAAAATTGAAAGTGTTATTCAATATTATGTTAATTTTTGTTATCTCATATTTTTTTTAACTTTTATAACGTTTTTAAGGTATTTAATCGTTCATTTTTTTTTTTTTTTTTGAAAATCTGTGAATGGTTTTGTTTCTTTCAGCGATTATAATCGACCTCGTTTATCTACGGGCCTGGTGATCGTTAGCTCCAAACAAGCTTATCATAAAATGTTGATTATTATTTGTCAAGCTAAATAGTGATAAACGTGTGGATGATCCCCAAAGATAAACGTGGTCGACTAGAGTTGCATTGCTCCGTGCAATTTTACGATGATACGATGCAGTGCTAGGCGAAAAACGCGTGAGCAAATTTTGTCTGCAATGCACTGCAGTCATATACATCTATTCTTCTTAATTCTTTGCTATTCTTTAACTTCTTCATTGTTGGTTTTCGTAAACTCCACCTTTTGACTACTATTTCCTTTGTTTTATAATTTTTTATCGAATGAAAAGTATCAAATATTTGAACGTCTCTTTTTAGTCTAAGTATTTCTCAGCTAATTTTAATATTATCAAGATAAACAAAAGGTGTAGTTTGTAGTTAATAAAATATTAATATTGTTATTTGTTAGTGTGGTTGTTAAGTTTTTAGATATTATAGCTTTTTCAAAATGTTCCTAATGTCTGTCGAATACATTTTTGTAAATTAAATAACTACTAGAAATGTCAGATGAGTAGTTTCATATTTATAACATCAGCCATTAGGGAAAATTTTTCGCTAATATAACTATATATAGCTTCATTATTACAAACCATTGCAAGTATGTATGAAACGACATTTGGAACATTTTTTTCAGTTATTATTAATCTTAAATTAATTTTTATGTGTTTTAATTTTTTTAACAGGTCATTTAGAATTGGGAGAATCTGACTTTTGATTTATTCAGCAGAACTTTTTTTACAATCGCATAACTTCTACATTAAATTAAATTATCGTTGTAAAAATGATTAGTTATTGTTTTCTGTACGCTCACGTGTATAATAATTATTTCATATTTTTACAACATGTATGAATATATTAACACATTTTATTTATAATTATTGATTATTAATTAAATAAATTATGTATTACTTATAATTAAATAAAATTTTGAGTATTTGTGTTCTCCAATTATAGTATAACACTACTAAATCTTTGTAAAATTACATAAGAAACAAATAAAAAATTAATTTTATTACATTTCATATATTCGGTACTAAGTTTACCTACATTGAATTTTGAAATTTCTTAACAATTTTCAATACACGTTTCAATTGAGTCGAACCGTATAGGGATATGCTAATTGGTTTTTTAAACACATCGAATTCATTTGAATATAAGACAAGTATTTAGTTTATTATTATATAGTTAATTCAGGACAATCCGCCTACATGATTTTATACAAACATACCACTCGCAACTATTGCAAAGTGACGCTGACATGGAAACTTGTCCCCAAAGTGACTTGGTACATCATAGGACATGGAAAGTGAAAGAATAAAAAATTTATTTCAATCGGTTTTGCACAAGACGCAAAAAAAGGGAACTAATAAATTTCATCAGTGAATGTGCTAAACCCATTTCGTTACACTGAATTACTTTTTAATTCATCAGTCATAACAATAAAAAATAAGTATGTTTTGATATTTTTTGTGGATCATTCAAATGATGTAACAACATACTATTGAAGTCACTGGGTCAAGCACCAAAGAACTTGCGTGGGTTAAACTAGTATTTATATGATTGTAATCGACGGAAAGACTTACATAACGGACTTGTATCAAAGACACAAAACACGTGAAACGTATTGTAATTTTTATTCTTAAACAACCTAAGTTGTCAAGCAAAGAAGATCACGCGTGTGTTAGAAAGCAAAAGTGCTTCGAACAGCCGAACAAGAGGATGTTTTGGATTTAAATGGATTAAATCATGTTAAATTTGTGAAAAGTTTTTTTTAAAAAAGTAATTAATTGTAGCAAATTAAAACAATGAAGAATTTAGTAAGTTTTTCTAACAGTACAATAATATCTCTTGAAATTATTATACGCTATTTAAATTTTAATGCATTCAAATAATTTTTCCTTTTTTTTTAATTTAATTTAATTTTTGTAGACTATATTATAAAACTATGGAAATATAATAATATATTGTATTTCTATTTAACTTTAGTATATTACTTATTATGAATACTAAAAAAAGGGCAGTCTTAAAGGGATGTAAGAGAAGGCGAAATTTCTATAGTAAAAATACCCAAGTAAGCAATTTTATTTCGTATTAGTAAATTGATTGCCTTCTAATATTGGTTTTAAAAATGAAGAATAAATTTTAAAAAATAAAGTAAGGATCCAACAAAGTGGAGTTGAGCTATTTTTTAGACTATTATTGATTAATGTCCGTCAGTAATTAAAGTCACTTCGTATTTGCAACAAATAAAAAATAAATTTAAATATCTCTCTAAACTTACATTGTTTTTGATTTTATAGGCCGATTACTTATAGAAAGCAATGTCGTCAAAACGTCTTTCTATTTTTTATCATATAGTAATACATTAAATAATCTATAGTTTGATTCAGTTATGAATAGTATTCCGTTGTTATGAAAAACATTTCAAAATCGCCCATTTTATAGAAAAATTGTATGGTTTTTGGCTTTAATGTTCTAGATAACCTCTAGAAATTGCAGATAATTTTTCTTTTCTTTAATGTAAGTTTCAAAAAGTAGTTTTTTTGCAACATTATCAGAAATTGAAAAGAAAAACATTTATATATAACTTTTAAACCCCCAAAGCACCTTAGTTAATAGTTGAATTAAAAAAAAAGTATGTCGTCAGCAAGGCAAATGTTCGAAATATTATCAATAAAATTTCGACGTTAACAGCTTCAACTTAATACATTTTGTAATCTTTTAACGTATCGTTGAACAAAATTGGTTCAGTAGGAGTGGAGTAAATGCGTATACGGACAAAAATAAAAAAACACGGTATAATAAAACTAATAGCTTTGCAACTATGCTTCTATGGTAAAATATTATAAATATATACAGAGTGATTAGCTAACTATGTCTCACGTAATATCTTTGATGAGCTTTTTCACAATAAGAATTAAAGTTCTATCCCTTATACTTAGAAATTATATCAACTTCAGATTTTCAAATGGCAAGCCCATACTATTTTTTTATATTTTTGTTCGTCATACAAAAAAAAATTTTAAATTATGAATTTAAAATAAGATACGCTACATTAAAATTTACGATATTCGATAAAAAAAATTCAGTAGTTTTTCCAACACGATCACATTATTATTTTATGTAGCGATAAGAGCTACCGGTTTACTGTGTCAACACAAGTAGTCAGAATAGCGCTTATCGATATACGACCTATAACGTTCAAGTCTGTTATCATTTTTTCTTAATAAACCCAAAAATTTAGAGAGCCGTGGAGCATTTAATATTAAATAAAATAAAATATTTTTTTTTTATTAAACTGAATCTAATGGTGTAAAAAAAATAGGGTTGCCATTTTAAAATATGAAGTTGTTACAAGTTTTAAGCATAAAGAATGGTGGTAGAAATTTAAATTTTCTTATGAAACACTTCATCAAAGATCTATCATGATTAAAACAAAAATTGGTTATAACACTTGTATTGTTTAAGATATTATGTGAGACATAGTTAACCATCACCTGTATATGAATACTTAACTTCGCGTCATTTTTAAGTAGATATTTTTCATTAAAAAAATGGCGACTGAAAAAAATGTAAGTCTCCTTATGATAATTGCCTAATTTATGTAGGTCACTTAAAAATCAGGATAAATGCCCACAAAATTTTCGTTCCTTATGATACACTTTAGTATTGTTCAATAAAACATTGTTTCGAAGACAAGTAATAATTACTTAATGTAGACATCATTTTAAAATATTCTATAAAACTAACTAATGAATTATTAATATAACACAATGTCACTAAAACATTTTTAGTGAAGTAACATGAACTAAAATAAGTGTACGTAGATTTAGGCAAATTTTAGAAACTCTAGTTTTTTTCCTTTTGCAAGAAACGATTAAAAATAATAGCTAATCAAATAAATTATTAGTCTCTTAATAGGTAATTATAATAATTTTCCATGCTATTATTTTAAATTAATAAATTCATTTAAAATACGTTCTACGAATATACATTAAATTCAAAATTACACGATAATATAAGTATAGAACATGTAAAATTATTTTATTTAGTAAACCAAATTCACAATAGGTTTTTATTGTCCTCATACTTTCTAAGTACCCTTTTACTGGTTTAATTTAAAAAACTAAGAGAGACAATAAAATATCTCTTCTTATTGTACTATTTAAAATAAAATATAAAATGTTATAGTAACTGTTATTTATTTTTATTATAAATATTTAAAATCAATGTTGTTATCATGGGTACAACTAAAACGAAAATTCTGGGGTACTGAAATTATATTATGTTCACACCTCTGAGTAACATTCTTTAAATAATTACTTACCAGTGTCATTGTAAACAAATTAAAATAATAATTTTTTTAATAATAAACTATATAAACTATTAGTAACATTTTTCATAATTTTAGTTCCAAAAAATAATCGAAATTTTTACTGAAAGTTAAATTTTTAATAGATTATTTTTTTGTGGTATATTTACAGTTTTTACTTTCTTTACTTGCTGTTGTATTATGCATTACTTTAAGTGAAGCTGTTGAGTTCCAACAGTACGAAGATGATTCACCTGAGGGTCGTATACATAAAAAAAACAAAATTAAGAAGTTGAAGAAAAGATTGTTATTAAATTGTTTGCTTCAGTCTGGTCGTAGACGCAGAAGAGACACGGCGCCCACTGGCCGATTCTTGTTACCTATAGTATTGCAGAGCACTAACGTAAACGTCAACGATGGCGGATATACCGGCTCAGACAGTGGTCATGACTATCAAGGAGGAGGAGGAAGCAGCGTCGATCATGATTGTATGCACCTAATTAATAATCACGGCCCGTTGTTATCAGGTGCTGTAAGCAGTGCAGGTAGTATAGCTGGAATTGGAGATAGTGGAAGCCGTCATAGCTATGGAATGCACACGAATTGGGATAGATATGCCAGACAATTCCATAGAAATTTTGTGAGGCCACTATATCGATTATTTTAATATTTAACCAATGGACTTTCTTTGAGTCAATATCATTGAATTGCTACCTACTGTAGTAGCCAATTAACATGTACATACAGTAGCTAATTATTTGTTTGTTTTTGTAATTGAAATTAATTTTTTAAGGGTAATTTATTGTCATACATTTATATTTAAGTAGATTTTCAAGTAGGATAGTGCCATAAATAATAATTAAACAGTTATTTTTTATGAAATAATTACTAGTATTGAAACGACATTAAAAAACGTGAACTTAATTTTATAAAATATTATGTAATATATATATAAGAAATTAATATACATCATTTATTAAAAATATATTCGTCGTATCGACAAATTTAAATTATACGCGTTTGAATAGAAAAAAAATTATTTTCATAACTATGAATATAGTTGAAAGCTTTTGTGAATGTCATAAAAAAATTTCTAGAAAGAAGTGTTAATAAAAACTACTTTTATCATTATTTATAAAAATTTCATTTTGTCAGTTTGAGATATGTACTGTTGCAGTATAAGTAACGATATATTAATTCAACATTTTTTATTTCATAATTATCATTTTATATACCAAAGCAATCAGTTTTTAATATTTATACCATATTTTCTAAATCATTCTTATAAAAAATATACCTCGCTAAACCATTATCATGGTATACAATCATATCCATTTTCATACTTTTTAGAATTAAGGTTATATTAAGTGGAAATAAATAGATTATCAATTATATACCTAAAAATACAAATATAAGTAATAATCAGTTTATTTGTAAATAAATTTCCAAAAACGAAATAATTTTAAAAGAAAACTACTATTAATAAAATATAAAAAACTTCTCCATTATAATAATATTAAAATAATAATGTTTACCAAGTTAAAAAAAAAATAAGGTAAACTGACAATATATTAAGTAACAATAATTACAATAAATTTAGTAAAATGGAATGACTCAATTATTGGATATTTAAGAATATAAATTATTGGAACAAAATATAATTGCATATTGATAATAAATTCTATGCTATAATTAGCACCAAAGAATAATATATGTTCATGGTTGATAAAATACTCGGTCAAAATTATTTCTTAAAATATTTTTTGTCAAATAAATGGAATAGAATAACATAAAAATACTTATGGTTCATTATAATAAATAATAAATGAGAGCAAAATTTGGACTAGATAAAAGTAGTGGACGAAAAAGTATAATAATAATTAATACATTGTGATGATATAATAATTAATATAAAATTGATTTAACAAAATCAAATTTATGAGAATTAAAGAAACAAAATAAAGTACCTATAATTTTATTAGTATATTTCTGTACCATTACAAAACATTTAATATAAATCTTTAACACCTTGAAACATGTATTAACTAGCTAGATTTGGTATCAAATTCAGACCAAGCATTGTTCAATTCAACAAATATTAATTTTGCGATGTTTTCATTACTTGTTCCTGTTTGCTAATATATTCAATAATAAAATTAATAATGAGATGATAAATGAACTGAAAAATATTAGCTCATACCTTATCTGGATGAACAGCTAGACAAGCTTTTCGATATGCTTTTTTAACATCTGCATAACTAACTAAATTACTAAGATTACAATTCCATCCTGAACCTTCCCATATAACTGTGTGCAATGTTCCAAGCAATGCTCTAATATTCCCTTTTTTTCCTTCGGTCCACTCTATTATCTACAAAATTTATATTTTAAATTTAATAAAAATTTGACATATCTTTTATATTAATTTTTTAAGTATTAATAGTAATAATAATAATAATAATAATGGATATAAACAAGAAAGCCTAAATAGCTTAATGAAACAGAATTAAAATTGGTACTTCTGCCCTAAGATTCTAAACTAAGCTCCTTATATACAGTAGTAATCAAACAGGTTGATTCCAATTTGCACGTACACTAATATAAAGAAAAATATTCATTTATTAGAATCATTACACAGGTTAATGAGATTATTTAAGAATAAGATAAATTACAAAAATAGAAAAAATGCGTTTAACACAATTTTACAGTACCGGTATGTTATTTTTATTGGAAATAAAATAAATTAGTTGTAGCATCACTATGATTACCTTTAACTTTTCAGGATCAATTTCTTTGACCAAGTCTTCACGCCGTAATTCATTTATTGTTTTTGGGCCACAATTAGTTTTTGTATTGAATTTATAGCCTTGGCTTCCTAATAAATCACCAAAAATATCACCATTTCCAAATGTTGGTTTTGGTGGATTCTTCGTATCTTCTTCTAAATTAATACTATAATTTGGTTCAGTGGGAGTTTTAAATGTTTTTGTGGGACTGTCTGTACAAATAAATGAAAATAAATAATAATTGAATATAATTTATTAAAAAAATAATGAAGATGTATTACTAGTTTGTGAATAACTGGTAAAATTCATCCAATCATCAGTTTTTAAAAAGTCAAAATCACCAACATTGGATTTTGAAGAAGTAAAACTACCATTTGACATTTGGTTACCATTAACAGCTGAAGAAACATCAAAATTGTTTACTTTTAATAATGAAAGATATACTTTTTAAATTAGTTAGTTTAATAGGATTTTCAAATTGAAGAAACTCAATATTCCAAATGAAATAAAATAGTTTACTTACAGTTGGTATTACTAATATCTAAAGGTACAGATCTATTACTCCAGAGATTAGCAGGTTTTTCAATATTTTGTTCATTCAAATTTAATAAATCCTCTTCCTAAGTTTAAAATAAAATTTAAAAAAACCGAAAATTGTGTATTTTTTATTAATTTTTACAACTAATATATATTTACTTTTGATTTAATTTTTGAAACAAATGGGTCAAATATATCATTTTTAGAAGTAGCTTCTGAGAATCCTTCAAATAAATCTTTAGAAATATCAGTCTTATCATTACCAGATTCCAAGAGATCAAAAATGTTTTTTTGCTTTTCTTTTACTGGCTCATCTTCAATTGACATGGATGATAAATTTAATAATAGACCTTCAGCAGGCTTGATTTCTTTTTTATCAACTACAGGTGATTTGCTTGATTTAGAAGGGGGAACCCTGGAAGTGGTAGTATTTGTTTCCTTAAATAAAATATAAAAATTAAGAACAAAATTTTTATAAGAAAAATAAAACACTTTACTTGTGATGATAAAACATGATTAGCTATTTGTTTAGAGAGTTCATTACTATGTGGGAATAATTCTAGAAACTGTGCTTTCTCATTTTCGGTTGAAAATAATACATTAATTTTTCTATTATTATCACGCATTTTGTACTGTGTTGAGATTCCATTTTTATGTTGCTCTATTTCAATTTTCACATGAAACATATTACTTTGATAATGGTCAGAACTAGATATAAAATCTAATTCACTCCTAAACATTAATGATCAAAATAATATAATAAAACAATACAATATTATATCAAAATATTAACTTGTTAAAATCAACAACAACATCATCACCATCAGGAAATATAAGAAAATCAGAATGAAACTGAATTTGAAACATTTTTATAGGTACCGTACGACCAAGAACTTGTCTAGAATGATATGCAATGAGAGTAATATCATTTCTAATCCCAGCAGGCAAATATTTAAGAGTGAGATTTATCTAAATAACATATTTATTAAAAAATAAAAAATATTATATTTGCAACAGTTTATTACTTTTCCTTGAGTAATATCATATGAACACATTTTTTCATACTCCTGTTCAGTAGATAATACTTTATTATAACCTTCATAAATTTCAATAAATGGACGGCATCCATCACTGTAATACATAATTAATGTAAATATATAATATTTACAATGTTTAGTACAACATTGCATAAAAAATTTACCGATTTTTATTAAAGAGAGGAACTGGCTCAATTAATAATCGTCTAATATTAATTGAATCTATATTATGAGTTTGTTCAGATGCAATGTAGTTTAAATACCTATTTAAAACATTAAAATAATGTAATATAATACAAGAAAATAAACTATAATATTACTATAGATTATTATAATTATTTTTAAAATTGTTGTATGAAGTATAGAATAACACCTATATTCTGATGGTTGAAGAACTGGTGCTGATTTCTTAACAGCATATATTGTACAAGCATTTTCTACATTGTCAGCTACATTCATATACAACAAAAAAGCACAAGTAATCAATGTGCAAGTATTGCTGTTCTCCTATTTTTAAATAATAATCACAAAGTTAATTAAATTAAATATGAATAATTCTAAAATTTAATTACAGTCGATTGGGCAATAATGCAAAGGTTAGTAGAACTTTTTTTTAAGTAGTTGTACATATCATCACACACTCCATAAATTTCATTTAATGTTGGACATGTATTTGTTTTTGGATGAATTTCAATTACCTGTTGAAAGATTCTTAAGTATATTTTATAAAGAAATAATATGTATAACATACTATAGTTTGACCTATATTGCGAGGATAAGATTGTCTTGACAAATTATAAAGACGACAATGTCGATTATCAAGATATAATGCCAATATTTCTGCATTAGTATCTTGAGGAATAGTTAACACAGCCAATTTCGAAGTTATGTAAATCATTTCTAAATTACCTTTTACATTAACAGACCTAAATCAAAATATGTTATAAGATAAATGTAAAATAATAATATAAATTTTAATATCACTTACGATTGAACGGTTTGTATTACTTTACTAGAAGTATCTTTTAAATTTTTTAAAAAACTACCAGCTCCACCACGAATTTGAGAAAATAGGCTAGATGTTTGAATGGATGAAGGGAATTGCCTAAAATGACAAAATCATATTTTATTGTGTATGATACATTTAAAATATTACAATAAATACTTAATAGTAGCCAGTTGTGGGAGCTGTTGTTGTTGTGAAATATTTGTATCAATGCCTACAATAGATTCTACAGGTTTTCCTTCTGATTTTAGTTTTATGACATCTAGTGGTTCTATATTTATTTTATATGCTTCTAATATGCGCTCAACAAGTTGATAAGTTTCAAAAACTGACATTCTTAATGAAGGATCTGGTTGCAGACAACCCTCTTTAGAAAAAAAAAAATGAATCAATTAATATTGCTTAAATAAAAATAAACATTTCCATCTGTTGATAATAAACAAAAATACCTTAAATTTTAATTTAACTGGTTTTTTAAAGAAAATTTAAAGGGCACTAAATATTTGTTTTACAATTATATTAATTAATTTAATAAACAACAGATATAAAGTCCAATTCTTAATGTATTTATTTATTTTTACACAATAAATAACATTTTTTATACTCCTATAAGATAATAAAATATCAACTAATACATTTTATTTTTAAATAAAATTATAATATAAAATAAAAAATTTACTTATAATTGAAAGAAATTCCTGGTAAATATTTTCCATTGTGGGAATTACAAATCTTCCATTTATGATTGCTAGTTTATTAGAATCTTCAAAAGGATGTTTATTAAAACACAGAGCATAACACACACATCCTAGAGCCCAAACATCGACAGCAGAACCAATTTCAAAATTTGACCAGGTATCTATCATTTCTGGGGCTCTATACATAGGCGTTGTACATAAATTAAGCTGAAATATAATTATTGAAATTAACTATTTAAAAATAAAATTACTTTTATAGTTACTACAACGAATATTAGGGAATATAGGTTTGTAATATATGAAGGGCACAGGATGAAAAGAGTAGTAGCCCACTTAAATTATTCAGGAGAACAAAAAAGAGTTATACATTTCTATCTCTCTAATAAATAAACAGAAATAGGTATATTCATTCTAGCAAAACAAAAAAATTTCACTAAAAGGATATCATTTTAAGATTCTACTGCTATCAAATTAAACTATAAATAAAAAGTAGAAAAAAACTACCAATTTTTTTTTGTAAGAGAAAAAATCTTCATATTGAGCATTTTCAAAGAACAAAATTTTAAATGAATTCATATACCTAATTTCCCCTTTTTTACGTAAATAAATATAATTGTAAAAAAGATGAATATGATATTATATAACTTACAATTGAAGAATTAATAAATGTATCATAAAATTTTCAGCATCGTATTCTTGATACAGTCTCATTTTATTTATTTAGATTAAAAATAATAATTATAAAGAATTATTATGTCATTTTACAATTAAATTTCCATTTAAATGTTTTACTTTTTATAGAAATGAAGAAAATGTTAATAAAATTGGAGATATTACTTTATCTTCTAAGAGAGCTCTTTGTTGTGCAGTCCAACTTTCATCTGGCTTGTAAACTTTTGTCGTACAACTTCCAAAATCACACAACTTAATTTTACCATCATCACTGATTAAAAAATTTTCAATCTGTAATAGAAATACCACCCTCAATATAACTTTAAGCAGCTATTAAAATATTATTTAACCTTCAAATCTCTATGAATAATTGGTGGACTTTGGCAGTGCATATGTCGAGTTGCTGAACACATTTGATAGAAAACTGATGTAACAACACTTGAATTTAGGGGTTTCTTTCTAGAAGATAGTAACTCTGCTATATTACCACCTAAAAGAACATAAAAAGGCAAACATAAATAACTGAAAAAAAAGTAAATCAAATAATGTTACCAACCAGAACAAAATTCTGTCAATATAAGATATTCATTAGATCCTTTTAGAGAATCAACTTTGCTAGTAAACGCAGCAGATATAAAATGAATTATGTTTGGGTGTCCAGATAATTTTTTCTACAAAATAAAACATTTACTATGAACATTACAAAACAAAATAAAATCAGAAATACATACAAGTACATTAATTTCATTTAAAATAGCTTTATCAGCAACATCATCTCCAGCTAATAATTTCTAAAAAAAATTATGCATTATATTAATCACGTATTATTTTTCAAAATTTTAGGCAGTCAGTATAGTTTGTTTGGAACTTTATTGTACAAGAATTGGATTTTGATTCTGTTATGCCGAGATATATAGTTTTTTCCATACACTAACACAAGTAGTAGTTTACAAGGGAGGACGTTAAAATATACATTAATAAATTTTAAATGAACTAAAAGGTATACTAACCTTTAATGCATAATCTTTACTAGTATCTTGAGCTTGTGCAATAAAGACCATGCCTGATCCTCCTATTAAGTAAATTAATTAATTCAATTTTTTAGTACTAATTTATTATCTTTGATTACCTTCTGCTACAAGTCTTTTAATCTTAAGTTTAACACTACCAAGTTCAACATTAGAGCCAACATAATCATTATCATCAATTGAGAAACTACTACTAAAGTAGTCTAAGGCTGATTTAAATATATCTGACATCTTAATTTCACTTATAAAAATTGAATATCTTGTAATAACCCTAAATTATACTTCCACTACATAATATTTTATTGTAAATTAAAGCATTTTCTTAATAAACAAATAAAAATAAATGAAAAACTTCTATTGTTAGGATTTTTTCATAGTACTAGCGCTATAAAACGAATTCTTGTATTATTATCAAAGTAAATTCATTAGTAACCCAATGAAACATATTTCCTAATTAATTGAAAAAATTATTTTTCATTCACCATTTTTTAAATGATACCGTTATCATATTTTGTCTTTGTGTTCACGATAGATATCTCACAGATATAGATAATAAACTTGTATTATCTATATCTGTGTTCTTGTTGGAAAAAGGATTTAAAAGAACATAGATACATTTCTATAGTTTATATTTCTAAGTCGTCCCGAACATCATTTTAGTAAATAAATTGTTTGTGTGAGTTTTCGCACGTAGACCATGGGATTTTGCATTGTAGTTAATACTTAAAAATGATACTAATGTGAACGTTGAGCAGTATGATATAAATATTATTTTTTATATCTCTTTAATCTCATATCTATATGAGTTCCTATTAAATATTAATTCTACCAAGTACATACGTCTGTTGAGTAAATGGCAGAGTGGAATAATAGTCAATTAAGAAAATATAATATAAAATTAGGAAAAATACCGGTTTTGCAACATGATGATCCGAAATTAGACTCCTACTTGTGTAATAATGTAAGTTGAAGTACTAAAATTAACAACTTATAACATATTTTATTCAAATTATTATTTATTTAACATTTCACAAGTTTAATTTTAAATATTATTTTAAAAGAGTATTAATTAATATTAATATATTTTTATTTTATTTTAAAATAAACAGCAGTAATTATATAAATATTCTTTATCAATATAACAGCTATATAGTTGCAATAATTTGCTACTTTTTTAATATTTTAGAAAAAAATTATAAATAAGGTAATGATTTATGTTTATTTAAAATCTAATAATTGATATTGTTTTTACAAAATATTTTTTTTTTTGAGAATATAATAACATTTTTCTATTTTTTGTGTTGTATTTTGTTAAATATTCTTAAATATAATACTTTTTTTTAATATTAGTTTTTCAAATTCAAAATAATTTTTTTTTACATAATGTATTTGTATTTTACTGTCAAACAAATTTTTCACTAATCAATTTTTATGTGAGCTTTTTTTATAGTTAATTTTTATTAGTTTTTCATTCAAACTGTAACTATGTGAATGTTTAGTATACTTACTGAGTAATTGATTGAAAGCAACAATTTACATATAAAATATGACAATTACAGACATTATATTTTTTGTTTTTAAAACATTTACTAACACAATATTAGTAACAAAATGTATTAGTTTCTTTTGAGTTTTTTATTTTTTATTTCAATTATAAATAAATATTGTGTCTAGTTATTTTAATTTTACAGAATTAAATTTTATATTACAGAAACCAGTTTTAATTAAAGGATCACAATTGATATCCAGTGCATTGAACTGGGATATTGATTATCTACAAAAACATATGAGTTCAATATGTTGTAATGTCATGATTTCATCAAATCATAGATTTAAATATTATGACCAAAAAAAAATTACTCCAACTTTAACTTTCAAACCATTAAGTCGTCCTAGCCCAATGACATTTTCTGAATTTGCTGATAAGATGAAAAAATGGAAAAAAGGAGATCCTAGGTAATATAAATATCAAATATTTCTATTTCAATTTATTGATATAACAATTACAAGCATGCAATTATAGTACTATATAAATAATTCAATTCACACTATTATTATTACTAACTAGTATAATACAATGTACCTTAAAATAAATTAAAATTTTTAGATTTCCAATCAATTAAAACTTGTTGATGTTGATTTTGTATAACATTTTTTCTTAGATAATGAAGAAACACACGGTTCATACTTATTATTTTTATAAATATATTCTGCCTAGAAATTTTTATAAGAAATTAATATAAATTTGCAAGTAATAATACAATTTAAGTAATTATTTTGCTAGGAAAAGCTTAAAAGCATTTTGTATGCTTTAGAATACAATGAAATATTTACAGAAATCCCTCATATTGTTTTATTTAATAACATTGTGTACAAATTATATGTACAGAGTTAAAAAAAAAAAAAAGTAAACTTGTGACAGTTAACCTTGGTATACAGAAATAATAAATATCAATTATTATTTAGTTATCGCTTAATTGAAAAGTGTCATCACAGAGCATCTATGATGACACTTTCTATTTTATTAAAATCCTTTAGTGTCTCTTGTTAAAATATCTAAATGTTTTGTTTCTATGAAAAAAAGCTATAAATATATTCTTTAGTTAGTCTTACTAAAAAGTCAACTGGATCTGAAGGTTTCTTTTGAATAATATCAACTATTCCTGGGACTAATATTGGGTTAACACTTTGGATTATGAAGTTCACGAGTTTGGCATTATTTAATAATAATTTTCCTTCTTTTTCTTTTTGTTTTTGACTTAAAAAATCTGCTGACTTAATTTTTTTTTAATGTCATTATTTTTTTAATACACTTTATTTTAATACCATTTCTACTTTAGTGTTTTTTTTATGATCAAAATTTGGATTTTTCAATAATTCAATTGGATCATATTTTATAACTTCATTTACTTTATTTATCATATTTTTTATGTCATCAATATCATCTATTTAAAAAATTTTATCAGAAATAACAAATGGTTTACATTTTATTCTACTAATACTTAAAGCAAAAACTATATTAAAATTAATATATTTGCTTTAAATCACTTTTATACTTATTTAATTACAATTTTTATCTCCAGTATCTATTGGAATATTCTGTTTAATTGATTCTAATACTTCATCAAAATCTTCTGAAGCTAGTAATGTTGGGTTATTTAAATCTATTGTTAAGCACTTATTGTATACAACTGGTTTATATTTCAACTCTAGATATTTTACGACGTCACGATTTTTCCATACTTCCAAATTGCTATTAATATTCATCATAACTTAAGTTTTGTTCCTTAGACTTTTTTAATTAAAAAATATTACTCTTGGTTTCTAATAAATTTCAATATATCCTCTTCATTTAATTTAAAATCTTTGGTAAACCAATTATTTTCTTTTAAGCTTGAAACCAAATATTCATTGTGTATATTTTTCTGTTCAATTGAAGTTTTAGTCATTACTATGTTTACTATTATAGCTAAAATAATAATTATTTATGATTGTTTAATAAATAAATTATTACATTAAACTATAATTTTTTTATACATATTTATTTATTTTTTATACTTGGAAATATATCTGAATATGTCTTAATGGATTGATTTAGCTCTTTTGATTCAAATATTACTTGAGCTTGTTTAATGGTTTCAGGGTAATTACTAATTATATAGCCTCTATATTTAGCCTTGTGACTGTATAATTTTTGTTTTATCAATCTGTATTACAAAACTTATAAATTATAGTATATGTATGATTATTTTTTAAAGAAAAAAATCATTATACTATATTATTTTTATATTTTTATATTTTCACAATTTTGTTATTAATGAAATAACTTATATTGTTCTATTATCAAATTTATAATAATTATACAAATTGAAAACAATTATTGTTATTAAATAGTATTATATATTTAATATACATCAAATTTATAATTGATATAAATATAAATATATAATTATATTGAATACTTATTCTTTCTCTAAAATGTTGAAAATCAAATGTTTGTCTGGAAAGGTGAAATATATCAGGGGTATTATTATTATTGTTGTTATTTTTGTAATTTTTGTAATTTTTAACTTGCATATTTTTAAGTGACAAAGATTTTTCATAAATAATTTAACAAAATTAATTTAATATTACATTTAATCTTTAGTTTTACATTTGCTTATTATAAATAAAATAGCGATTGTTAGTCTTTGGTTTTTATTAATTAACATACTTGGTTCATATTGAACTCAAATTCAAACAACAAAGCTTAGAAATTTAAATAAATATCTCTGAAACCTGTTTAGTAAATAAAATAAAGTATTTTAAAAAAACATCTTGTCCCATTTTAACCCAATGTAGGTACAAAACGGAACATTTGAGATTTTTTAAAAATTTTTATTATAAGTATGTAATTTAATATTTCACCAAATTAATCTTGTTTTTGTGTAAAATATATCTTAAATTTCAATTTAGTTTTTGATTTATACAAAAATAGTTAAAATTGAGTATGTTACATTAGGTTAAATATTATGTGACCATACTTATAACATTCAACATATACCCTAGTTTTCTCTAATTAGACCAAAGTTTATTACACTTTGTGTGGAATATAAAAATGATGAACCTATCAAAAAATGAAAGTCTATAAAATATTAATAATTAAATTTTTTTCGTTTTTAAATTTATCTTAACATAATAATGTTTTATTTTAAAATCTCAGTTAAGTTAAACAAAATAGAATAAAATTTTACAGAATTTTTTAAGACTCACGGAATGAGATACTTGTCATCAATTTGACCATGATCTTTAAAGTACTTTTTTTGTTCTTTTATTATTTCTTTGATTCTATGTATATCTTGATTAATATTTTCAATTTCATCATATTTAATATTACTTCTTGAATCCATATTTAATGTATATGTTGAATTTGATATACATTTTTTTTTATTAATAATTGATGCAGTATTACTAATTTCGTTTTCCTGTTCATAATTATTTAAAGTTTAATGGTCAATAAAAAACTAAAATATGATTAATGTTTAAATTCTAGCACATTTCATAATTATTCTGCTATTCATTGCAAATTGATAATTTTGTGGAAAATCACGAGTCTTTTAATCATATCATTGAATAAATGTCAAACTGAACCTTTCATAGATACTTCTTGAAAAATTGATATTATCTAATTATTTTATATAGTGCTTATTCAATGCAATAAATCTCTACAAACTTCTTCATGTATAAAATTTAAATTATGCCTTTTCTAACTATGTAAGGTAAGTTAAAATTTGTAATATAATTAATCTTCAAATAAGAGTATACACCTCCCTTCCCAATACTTTTTAATTCATAAAATATTTCATGATAAACATTTTTAATATTTAATTTTATTATCCACATACCATTAATCTATTTCTGTATATCAGACTATGATCTTCTTTCTATAGATGATTTTCAATAGAATTTAAAAGTTAAAAAAATATATTTTTGTATTAATACTTTACTTTTAAAAACAAAAATTCTTCGCTGAGTGATGAAATATCTATGCAATCTAAGTTGTATATCATTGCAATTTTTTTTGACATATCAGAAGTTCCATATGGACCGTTGATTACAATTTTTTTTGCCTAAACAAAGCATTTTTAAAACTGATCTTATAATCAATTTTATCATATTGCTAAGAAAAACTATAAGAAATTTACAGAATTTAACTTTGACTTGGTATTCTAATGAATTAATCATAATTTATTTTAGTATAAAAACTTAGTAATGAAAAAGACATAAAATGTTATTTACATATTATTAATGCTTACTTGTAAGTTTTGTTCAATTAAGTATTCTGTAATGAGCTGTTTAGCTTTGTTAAATTTATGTAAATTAAGTTCTTCTAAATTTAGTATATTTATGATGTAATCATCAATTAATGGTACTACTTGAAGAGAAATTGTTATCATGTCATAAATTTTTTGCTAAAAATAATACAAGAAAGGTATAACTTAATTGTATTTTTTTACATCAAAAGCTATCTAATACTTAATTATTTTAAATTATTAAATTCGAAATTTGGTTTTTAAATCCCATTAAATAAATGGGAAATATGTCTCATTATGATAATTTATTAATGCTAAGTAAAAAATGTTTTCAGATTAAAATTAAATTAAATAAAAGATTTCAAATAACTATAATAAAAAAAACTATGTACAATATCTACATTGTTGAATTTTCTAAAGGCTAATATCACTTTCAAAGAAAACTAAAAATATAAAAAAAAATTGTCTTTGTTTTAATTTTGGCTTATTTTTCATAAACACAAATATAAACTTACTGTGACTTTTTTATTAATAAATAAGCAGCTATAATCACAATATATATATTCTTCTTTATTTACTTCATCTCTTATGGCTTCTGTTATATTACTGAGACTAAATTTAGATGTCTCCACTCCAATTATATATGGTTGCACTATTTTATCATAGTGATTTACCAAATTTCTAACAATTCTAAAATAGAAAATGATTAGTACCTGCTTAAATAATCAGCAACTGAGCTTATATTCATGTAGACCTAGCTAGATTTTTAACATGTATAATAGGTAAATTATTATTAATTTCTGGTATCATAAACTGCTCTTTCTCATTAAAAGCTGTTGATAATATGTATTCTAATGCATGTTCTCCTTGGCCATAAACTATTCCTGGTGCAAGTATTATCCCATAGAAATATCCTTTATACTGTATAAGTTTTATTAAATTAATAAAATAATTTTTTTTTAAACAATCATACTAAATCATTTAGCAGCAGTATGTAGTTTTCCAAGTCATAAAATTTTTTGTAATTAGGATGGTAAATTCTTTTTAAGTAATCGTTTTGAGTAATTGGGTTTATGTTCTATTTTTTAAACAAAATTATGTTAAATTAAGTAATTTAAATAAAAACTATGTTATACTGTATATTACATTTTTTTTTTGTGTGAAAGCCCATGTTAATATACTTGATATAAGTATGAATACACGTATGCCATTTTGCTTAGCTATTTCACTATTTGGTTGATCTTTAACAAAATCAATTACCTCCAATATTTCTATATTAAATAAAATTTATAATACGGTCATTAAAAACAATTATTTTAACAAATATATTATTTTTTAGTATTTATTATTAATTAAAAACATTTATGGTATGTAAAGTTAAATTTTAATTTATTTTTACCATTTAATCCTAAATTAATAAATAATAATAATTTTCCCTTTTAGCTTCGATGCGAAGCTGAGAAGGTATTGGTTTTACTATGATGTGTTTTTTTTTTTTTTTTTTTT